ATTCTCAGTCCTATCGGGTGATTAAAGTCATTGTTCCCCCTCATCAAATGGGGCTGTCTTTCCTAGTGCAGGTGTGAAGCCCCTGGAATATTATCTTGGGGTTGCTCCTCAGCCTGCCAGTAAAAGTGCCCGCAGACCTGGTCAGCCAAAAGCAGCATCTCAAAGCCTTTTGAAATCTTTTGTGTTTTAAAGGATGGCTGAGAAGGTTTGTGCAGGACTTTTCTGCAGCCATGCAGAGCTGGAGAGAAATTTCGCGTAATTTAATGGTGCTTCCCAGGCACCACCTCACCCCAGCATGCTCCGTATTTTACGTGACTCGGCATGCAGGGTGACTTCTGCAAGACTCATGGCTAAAGAAGAAGTTACAACAGGAGCACTGCAGGTGCCAGTTCCCTTTCCCATCGGAAAGGATGAATCCAGTTGCTCCATGTGAGCGAGGGCTCTACGGGAACAAAACTGGCATGTGGACTGCTCCACAAGGCTGGCTGTGGTGGCAGCATTTCTGAAGAAAGCCGACTGCTATAAACACGCCTTTCGTGTCTTGAAATGTGCTTTTGCCACCACCTGCACGCATCGGGGCTGTGCCGAAAGCCTCTGCAACCTTGCGAGTCCTCTGTAGGTTGGGTCGCTGCGACGAGCTTGTCCATCTGTCCTCTGTAAGTTATGCAAATGGGGCGCTGTGCTCCATTGTCAGTCTGTGTGGGTACTGCCTGGCGTGTGGGCCATCTGTGCACCGCCACAGCTCCTAGATGGAGGCTGTGTTTCGGGCAAGCCTATAGGTTGCAGTAATGGAGCATTTCCTCGCATTGCTGTTCCGCTGTGGCTCGGTGAGTTTCGGTCTCTGCAATTAAAGAATCGGAGGCCACAGCTTTCTCGTAATGTAGGAACCCGTGGGCTGAAACAAGAGGATTGCTGGGGGCTTCATGAGGCTTGGGGGAATACTTAGAGGTGCTGAGAAGGCCACTTGTAGGTTGTTGAAAAATTTAAGTTGTTCCCAGTTTGTCCTAATCCGATGCCTTTTCATTTTATGCTCTAGGAAGGTAACGTAAAATTATTTTTTTTCCTTCCTCTCCTACACAGTGGAGGAATTGGCACGGGAAGGGGATTCCTACGTGTTGATTTTCTACAGAAATGCTCACCCACTCCCTCTTTCGCTTCTCTTCAGTTGCTTGCTTAATGTAGCCATTCTCCTGTTAGTGACTGAGAGAAAAGGTGAGGCCGTGGCTCCCTGATTTCCCTCATGTCATCTCCCAGCTTCTGCCAGATAAATATCGTTAGGACATTGAGGTTTGCTTTTACTAGCAGGACCCATGTAGTTATCTTCAGGGATTTCTGAGGTTACTCGTAACCTCCACGAGCAGTTTTCTCATGGCTGGGCATACATCTCTTCAAATACTTAAGAAACGTGCTCCTGAAGCCTTCCTGTGGAAGATCTGAAAAGAACCCAGGTAAGGAGACAGAGCGGGGAAGGAAGTGAAACCTAAGGTGCAAAGATAACAGTGCTCGGGAGGCTTGCAGCCTAAATCACCTTGTGAGAGTTGAAAGGATCACTCAACAACCTAAAGAGCTCAACCCAAAGGGATGGCTGAACAAAATGAGCTGAATTCTGGTGCATCAGCGTTTTTGGGTGAGGGGCTCTCGTCAGCCCCTTGTGTAGGTGACCTTTTGCTGAGCTGGTTCTTGTGCGGTTTCAGAGGTAGCCATTCAAGGTGGTTATGCTCGTCTATGCATTGGAAAGCTCGCGTTCATTTCCTGGTCAGAATCTCCCCTGGGTATTTTTATTCTCCATTAACATTCCTTCTGGGGATTGTATTCGGGTCCTTCGCTTCCTGTCCTGTTCCTGTTCAGATGTTAATCAGCTGTTGTGTTCTATTCCAGTTACGGGTGAGCCATGGCAGTGTTTCTTGGGCAGTGCTGATCTGCTCTGGCTTTTATGAACGGGTTAGGGAAGCTAAGCTGCTCTTACCAGCTACTCTAGGCGCTGTGTTCATGCATATTTAGGGTAGGGAGTCCAGCTGAATTGGCAGCACTGGGGTCTTTGTATTGTAGAAAGAGGGATGGGACTAAGAGAAGTCTGATTCTGAGATGGAAGAGACTTCCGCAGGGTGCATGGATGTGACAGACACACGATATGTGCTGCCCAGTGGTATTTATATTCAGCCAGAACTACATAAGACTGGATTTCATTTACTTTGGAAACATGTTAGGTGCTAAGCAGGGTTTGTTCCGTGGCCTGTTGTTCAACAGCTAGCCCGATCCCTTTCTGTTGGTATCTTCTGGAGTTTTTTCCTATGCAGGGAGCAGAGATTTCTGCTTAACAGTCAAGGTTAATTGGTCTGAAAAGGCAGGAATGAGCAATAATCCTCCTGAAACTCAATTTTAATCCAGGAGTCACTATAATGCTATTACTCAGCCCTGAATCGTGCGCATTAACATGCAGGCAGAACCGAGAAGCAAGTTTCTGCACTGGGAGCTGTCATCCTTTTATTTTAAAGCCAGCCTCAAAGTAACTAGCAGCAGGATGGATCTGAACATATTTTTAATTGGAATTCCTTCCCTGAATGAAAAGCTCTCATTAAATGTTAAAGCGTCCTGTAATAACCTTGCCGTCCTTCTCCATTGTGCTTGGCACGAGCGAGCTGCAGGGGCTGCTTTTAACTTCAGGCAGCTTGTTCTCCTGTCCCAGGCAAGACCTCTTGGTGCAGTTTTTACATCTCCTCTCTCTCTGATTAGCTGTCTCCATCAGGCTTGCTGCAGCAGCTTCTCACTTCATCTGGCTTGAGACACGCGGAGGCGAAGGTTGGCTCTGTCCATACGCACGGGAAGGCAAGTGACAAGCCCCTCTTCTTGCTTCTCGGGAGGCAAGCGAGGAGAAATTGTTGAAATTAAAATGGGCTGTGCCCATCTTTGGTGCTGGATCTGTGTTTGCACTAGAGGTTGGCTGAAACAGCGTGAAGTTTCTGGGTTAGCTGCGATGATCAGCTCTGTGGCACAGGACCGTAGCAGCGATTATTTTTACACATGAGTACGTGATTGGAGTGTTTTTTTGGAGTACTCTGACTTGGTGGTAGCCAATGAGTGTTCCCGTAGTGTTGCTTTAGAAACAAATGGGGCTGTGATGGTGCTATGGAGTGTGTTTTCCCTGTCATACAAGTTTATCTTTCTGAATAGAGGGCAAGATCAAAGAAACGTTGCTTTAAAAAGGAAAACACTGGAAAGATGACAACGCCTGAAATAAGGGACACTTTCTGCAGTGTAGTCACCCTATTTCTGTTAAGGAAGGGAAATGCTGATCCTGAACTGGTGAGCGGCCTGTTCTATGGGATCAGAAAAGGCAAGACATGAGAAGGTAATGATGAGGAACACCCTGCAAGTCCTTCTCTGCCCTTCTGTAGGGAACGTGCAGCTGCTCCAACAGCAAACAAGAGCTAACCGTGCGCCTCCTGGTCTGAAAACCAAAGCTGATTATTAGTTACCTCGGGGCTGGAGGGACTTTGCAAGTACCAGGAAGGCAATAAGTGTCTGCAAATATTATTTATTTTTTTCCTTTGATGCTTTTTCCCTGTTGTCCAGAGGGTTTGTATGTGTTACTGGAGAAAACGTGATGTGAGTGAGGTGGTGTTTTGGGCTCTGCGGGCCCTGGACGGAATAGCCCAAGCCATTCTGTGCTGCACCATGTCTGCTCCTGGTGTCTGGTGAAAGTCTTGGCCTTTCCCAAGCCTCACAGAGGACACAGCCACTTGCAGACGGAGAGGGTGGGTTTTACACAGAGGGCTGCTGCCTGAGAGCAGCAACTAGTCAAGCGTGCACACACAGCTGCGCTCAGTCCCTGTCACCGTGAAAAGAGGGGCTGTGTGGTTCCTCTTTGTGAGGGGGTGGAGGAATCAGCAGCTTTTTGCATTAACAGAGCAAATTGTTAGGTTTCTACTGCAGTCTTCAGAGCCTCGATGTGCTCGTGGCTTTGCCTGGAAGACAAGGCTATTGCTGAGGCTGGTCGGGGTGCAGACCCAAGCCTGGTGGCTTTCAGGGAGCTCTTCCAGTGAAGCTGTCTCTGTCAATGAGCTTAGAAATTACTCTGGGCTGTGGGTAGTAGCTAGAAGATGGAAGAACTGGAGCTAGTGCAGATGATAGCATTTACAGCTCTCCTCCTAGCAGCCCTAAGGGACATTGCCGATGAGAGATGGACAGGGCAGATAAAAAAGGATCAGGAGGTTAAGTTTCCTCTTGTGTTACAATGCTAATTAGGATGGCAAAGACCGGGCTGAAGAGCTGCCTGCTGCTGTAGCTCCAGGACAAAGCCAAGCTTCTCCTGGTTAGTCAAAATGTGGACCTGACAGCAAGCTTCCTCGGAGAGAAGCTTGTGAATAGTGTGGTGAGTGCAGGGCAGAAATAGCGCTGTCTTAAACCTCTAGGTAGTGCCTGTGTCCTTTTCTGCTTTGAAGCACAAGGTCTGTTTATTCTGCAGAGAGTGTCTGCTCTCTGAACAGAGGCACGGGGAGTTGAGCCACCTTGGGTTTGTCTCTGTGGTAGCAAAGGATGCCCACTCACTGCCGGCAGAGAGCTTAACTGTGCTGTTTGGCACAAGGAAGTCTGCAAAACAAACTCGGTTGGGGTGGCAGGCTGGTTGGGGCACGCATGGAGGAACAACAGAGGCTGATCCCTGGTGCTGATCAGGAGCACAGGCTGGGAAGCAGTGACCCCTGGAGCCACCTAGGAGAACCATCCGCCTTGCAGAGCCCAGTTACCATCCTGCAGAGGAATCCAGCTCACTGAAGGGCTGCTTAAAAAAAATACACACCACTTTTTCTTTGGGACGCAGTGAAGGCAAGGAGCTTGCTTCACTCGATGGTCCCGTCATCAGACAGTGGCCGGATGGTGCAGCAGTTTGCTGCTGGCTCCCATCCCGGCACCTGGCCGTGGGTTGGCCTGCGCGTGCCTGGCTGTTTCCATGCGTTGTGTTGATGGGTGACTGACACCGAGTTTCCTTTCTCATGTTTCAGGGGCTGTTGGCCAGATGCTGCTGGATGCTGACAGGAGAAAGCTGATTCGGAGACGGGCAGCCAGAGATGTTTGGACACGTCGTCATTTTGGATCTGTAAGTCCTTGTTTGAGGGGAAGTTGCCTGGAGGCACCGCGAGTATTTGAGTGTCTCTGGAAATGCTCAGATCGTGGGGGCAGGTTCCCAGTCCCGGTAGCTTTTTGAGGTAGGTGGGGAGGAGATGGAAGGTGTTGGGTAGGAAGCAGGACAGAAGCGTGTCACTACGCCTCTCCTCACTACAATGCTGCAAAGCATCGGGAGGGGGAGAGAGAAGGTGTAAATCCAGGAAGGACCAGGTCAGTGAAGCCTGAATCTGCTTCTCTCTCTCCCTCCCTGTGCTTCGCAGCTTTGCCCTGCAGAGCAGTTAGACTGTTGTGAAGCTGTTTTTCCCTTTGCTAGTCAAGACCCAACCGCAGCCTTGCAGTGAGGAAGGGGGCCAGACAGCTCGTTGGGCCTGGGCCAGCGCTAGGGCACCTTTCAGTTTGTTTTGGCAGCGCCTGAGTTTGCGTGGTCCTGGTTGCCTGCCTGTGCCATTCACCTTCCATCTGGCTTTCCCTGTGTGCATACAACTGCTCCACACCCTGCGCTCCCGTCCCGCCTCCCAGGGCTCGGTGCCACGGGCAGGGGAAGAAGCAGCGCAGCAGCAGAAGTGCATCAGGAAAGGGAAGACTCTGCTGCCATGTCTTAAATTAGGGGTAGAGTGATAGCCACAGAGCTCAGCTCTTCCAGGCAGCTCGCAGGTGAACCCATTTCTCATCCTGTGGCGATGCGTACCCTGGGCTGTGAGCACAGAAGATCCTTTCTGAACTTGTGTTATGGCCTGGGTTGGACGGAGAGTATTTTACAACAGCCTGTTAGCAGCAAAGTAGAGCGTGGCACACTGCTGGCAGCCAGAGAGTAGCTTATCTTCCTCTGCCTCATAGAGGTGTGGGCCATCACAGCGGTAGGCACAAGGACGTCATGTTTTGGCTCCGAGGAGAGCCTGCTAATTGCCAGCTCATTTGTAGGTGCACAGACTTAACAATTACCTCACTCAGCCTTTTAGCATTACCAAGCTCCTGTCCCTAAGGCTTTGCGCAGAGGAAATGAGCAGGAAGGGTCCAGTTTCACAGGAGGTGCCTGTAGTCCTTCCTGGAACCAAGGTTCTCTGTGAGCTTCATGAATTTTGAGTTTTTATGGTCCTGATTGCCTCGGATGTGTCCTTGCCAAGTGGCTTTCCAGCTCTTGCAGGGCCGTGTGGCTCAACTGTCCTGAGCTAATTTCCTTTCCTTTCAGAAGATCTGTTGTGGGTTGGGGCGGGCACTTGGAGTGAGATGAACATCCTGTCGTCCTTGGTTATAAACATGCCCCATTCCTTTAAATATTCATGGGGTGAGGTTTCAAACTGTTTCTTTTATGGATTCTGAGCTATTTGTTTCCCTTCTTCAGGGCATCTGAGTGAGGGTCCGTGCTTCATGAAGCTTTGAATTTGAGCCAAGGCTGGTAAGTGCTCAGGTCTTAGGGGCTAGAGAAATGATAGTGTGGTTTCAGCTTGGGATATCTGTGTATCTCCTGCCCTTAGCCTGGCAGGAGTTGACAGAAGAGATCACCTGGTTGGTGGTGGGGTGTTGACAAACCTGCTGCTGGTCAGGATTTCAGCATTTCTTTTTGAAGAGGAGAAATGTCTTCACAGCAAGGCAGAGCCAGCTGTGTCGTTTGGAAATGCAGTGCAATGTGTATTATTTTGCTGGACGTGTTTTTTTCTAAAGCATTAGAGATTGCCTCACCTCACTGGTTCCTTTTAAGAGAAAGGATCTTGAGGGAATGACTGCAGCAACATCGAATTGTCAAGATTTTGACAGTGGATTTGACAGGCTAGTTTTAAGAAGTTGCTCATGTATGTGGAAAACACATGAGAGACTTCAGCGAGCCTGTGTTGTTATTCTTTTTTTAGTGGAGAACAGCTCACGAATTGCCCTGTGAAGTGTAAAGCCTGCTGTGGCTTGGAGCCACTGTGTGCCTGGTGCAGGCATTTAAGTCCTCCAAGGGGGCCCGGTCTAAGTGCTGAGAGGGTGCAGCTAGGCAAGAGTGGATGAGAACTGCAGAGAACTCTTCAGGGGCTCCATTTAGATACCGAACAAAGTGTAAAACAAGTGGCAAGGCTGCTTGGTGGGAAGTCTTCCTGCCCTCCACTCAAAGTGGTGGAAAGGAAGATTATCCCATGCATACAGGATAGCTGCTTTCCTTCTGCCCCATATTTTGCTCTTGTGCTGCTCCTGCTCCTGCAGCAGGTGGATTCTTCCTGCCCAGCACAGTTTGGGTAAAGGGATGAAAACTAATCTGGGCTTTCTTGCAGTGGTACTGCTGCACGTTGCAACATCTGACCTTAGGTACCAACATCAGTGGCATTACTCCCTAATTTGATGCCACTTGTGGCTTGGGGGTGCTCTTTTCACTTTTCTGACGGAGTGAGCAGTTGGAAAGGTGTGGCACCTCCTCCTGACAAGCCTCCCGTGGTTTGCCCCGCTTGTGGCCCAGTGTTAGCAAAAACTCTTCTCAGTTTGGGCTCTTTAATGACCGGAGTCTCCTCCCACAAAGTCCCTGCCGGCAGCGGCAGCACATAATCGATAACCCCTGCTGTCACTGCTGCCTGGCAGGCTCGCTGTGTCCATATTGGAAGAGGCCTTTCCTAAAGAGCCTGATCGATAGGCTGCTGTGAGGCCTCTTCTGGTTTGCTATATATAATCCAGCTCCACACGAGCTACGTGAGTGAGCGTGTGGAGAAGGGGGGAGAGGATGTGCCAGCCCTCCGCTCCCCCTGGCTGGGAGGACGCGGCTACCTCTGACTTTGCTCCCTCTCCTGCGGCCGCTGCTCGAGCTTTGCACTCACATCCCTTCCTTGCTCTATCCACGCTCTGCATGGGGAGCCGACGTCCTGCTGGGTTGCTTCTAGGGTTGCCTGCAGCGCGTGTGACTCCCTCTCCCGTGCGCTTTCTGCTCTTGGCAGGTAGCCCGCCGGCGGAGCCCCGCAGCCGGGAGGATGTCGAGCACGGCTCCCTCCAAGAAGCCCTACCGCAAGGCGCCCCCGCAGCATCGCGAGGTGCGCCACGAGGTCCCCATCATTCGGGACGAGCAGGATGGAGTGATTTTGGCCGAGCAGAGTCAGGTAACAGCTTGCCGGGTGGCAAAGGGATTAGCAGTGGCGCGCCAGCACGCAGGGTTTAGTCGCGCCGAGGCGGGCCAGCTCGAGCAGGCGGAGGGGTTTGAGGTTTGCAGCCCCAACTTCTCCTCGTCGTGGTCTCTGGAGTCCAGCAGTGAGAAGGAAGCGGCAGGGCGCCGAGCAGAGCTGAACCTCAAGAGCCAGCCAGCACTGCCACGTGGTAGGAGGATGGCACAGCGGAGTGGGAAGCGGTGCCCGAACCGCGCTCGTGGGCATCTCAGCAAATTTGTGAGCCGCAGCATGGAGACGGTCGTGGTGCCTGGAGATGAAAAACCCCACCCTCCTTGCTCGTTCAAGAGCAGAAGCCTGGAACGCTCGCTTATGTTTAAAGAGCCTCCTGAAGTCTTGGCACCAAGGAAGTTTCGGGTCTCCCCTACGCACCTGCCTCTGAAAGGGATCTTAAAGCAGACCGGCCTGCGGGTGGGTGCGTGCCCGGAGACCCTCCGCAAGTCCCGCTCCGTCGAGGCACTTCCCCGTGGCCGCGGCTCCCGCAAGTACAGCGACCCTCAGCTGGGCCTTGGCTGCAGGGAGAAATGCTCGCTGGAGCGCAGTGGTGGCAATGCTGCCGACTCTGCCAAGCGCAAGGAGAAGCTCAGAGAAGAAAAAATGCTCTTCTCCAAGTTCCTGGATGAGATTACCCAGAGGGTGCTGAGTCCCATCCGCGTGCGCTCGCTGGGAGAAAGCAGGGGAGCAGAGCAAAGCCAGAACTCTGCTCGTTTTGCCAAGGGGTTTGCCCCAGAAAGTCGAGGGGAAGGTCATCTGGAAGAGGTCAAAACCAAGCGGGCGAAAGAAAGATCCTCGTGCCCAAGCAGAAAAAAAACAGCAAAGAAATGTGAGGGGCCGGGAACGGCTTCGTGTCAGAGAAATCGTGCGGAGGAGGCTGAGAGAGTTTCCAGATTGAGCAAGAAGCCCGTTCTTGGGAAAAAGAACAGTAAGGAGAAAGTTCTTTCCTTGGAGAGAAGGGTGGTAGATCTGTGTCAGTATGAGCTGCAGAAGCTGGCAGCCCTGGGGCTGGCAGGGACATCCTCTGGGCAGCAGCACTCACTGTCTTCATGGAAAAGCAGTGCAGAGGGCAGAAGGGATGAAAGCAGTCCCTGTTCCCGGCTGTTACAGCCACACCATCTGTCTGCTAAAATCGGGCAGAAGCAGAAAGTGGAGCCGAACCACCCAGAGAAAGAATCCTTTTCCCCTCCAACACCCTGGAGCCGGGAGGAAGGGCCAGCTCCACCTAGATCCTCCCCTTCCTGCAGCCTGGCACTAAACAAGGTAGGTGCCAGGTCTGCTGGCTCTCGCAAACGGGGGTCTCACCAAGGCCGAAGCCCCCTCCTGGATCTCACCTCACCCCTAATGCCAGTGTGGGGGGAGAGAGCGGGCCCCCAACCCTGAAGCTGTGGGCGTCTCGTCACCAGAAGCTGCTGTCCTGTGGTGCTGCTCGTGTCGCTGCTGCAGGCTGGGTTTATCTTTGGTTTATCTGGGGAGCTGGATCTCTCCTTGATGGCTGGTTCGGGTCTTTGTAAGCCACCCCTCTTTTCTCCAGCCTGCTTTGGGGCCACTGCCTCATTTTACTGGAAATCGCCGTATCCCCTTTGCCTGCTCGCTACCCTGTGCTGGGTGTGGATTTGTAGGGGTTGGGGAGGCAGTTGCTGGGTAATTGTGTGAATTACTGATTGCCTTGTGGGGTAGGGATGTGAGGAAAGGGTGGATTGATGCTTTGCCTTTAAGGACAGGAAGGTAGGTGCAGGCGCTGAGGAGCATCCTTTTAAAATGAGCAGTGATGAAGGAAGCAGCCCCATGATGTCTGAGGGCCAGGGCTGGGATGAGTTTGCCCTCTGTAACGCTGCTGGAAGTTCGGGAACCTCAGCCACAGCTGCCTGTGGCGTGGCCTCTCACGCTTCGTGGGCAAGGTGACATGTGGCAGCTCAGTGCTGCAGGTACACCACGCACCAAAACTGCTCCATGGGCAGCTTGGGCCTCGAGAATGGTCACGGCCTCGAGCTTTCACAAAAAATGTGGTTGTTGCTAGTGCTGATTGAATCTCACCCAGCTGTGCTGGCAAGCAGCAACCACCTTTTGGGTTAGCACAGAGAGCGTGAAGGGAGCGAGAGCAGCGCAGCCACGTGCTCCTGGTGCAGCACTGTCTCGCCTTGTTCTGCAGGTCCCTGCTCCCACCAGCTCCGGGGACCTTGCCCAGAGCGTTTCTTTCACAGGCTGTTCTGCCCTTTAGTGTTTCTTGTGCTGTCCCAGAATAATGACAGTGGCTCTCTTCAGGTCTGCAGAAAGAAACCCTTTTCACAGCATCGTCTAGCTGGCGTGACTGCTGGACAGACAGCTCTTTTCATCTCCCAAAAGACACACTCTGATTCTTCTGAGAGGCCTCGAGGGTGTTGTGGTGGCACGTTAATTGCTGATTCCTGCTCCCTGTTAATCGTGGATGGGCAGGAGGGTGAAACACCAGCAGAGGTGGCCGTGTGGTGGGAGAGGCTGGTGCTCACCGTGGGAGAGTGAAGTTACCCAACTTGTGTGGTGGTTTCTGGTTCAGCTGCTCTACCCCCAGCCGGAGCACGCAGTCTGTCTTAGCATCACACATGGGGGTGGTGTGTACAGATCCCAGGTTCTAATCTACCTACCCTGACCCCTCAGAGGAAGAGGAAGAGTCCCTGCTAGGGTCTAGCAACAAGACGTTGCCCTTTAGGGGACGGTGTGAGACCAACTCCTCCCCTGAAAGAATCTCACATATGTTTTCTTCCCTGTGCAGGAGCCCTTGACGGATGCAGAAAGGATGAAGTAAGTGTCCTGCTCCCCCCTCCCTCTTGTTGTGCCGCTCCCCCGTGGGTGCTGCTCCCTCACCTCGTGGTCGTGCCACCTGCACGGCGAAGCTGGCTGCCCCTGCGGGCTCCCCTCACATCTCCAGCCCTCCTGGGGCCGTGTGGGCAGAGCTTTGGTCTGTGCCTTGCCCACCTCAGGAGGCGTGGGGCCGCAGATCTGCAGTGCAGGTGCAGGCAGAGGAGTCGGTGGGTGTGGTGGAAAGCAGGAGATAAAGCCTTTAACACGGGTGGAGGGAAGAATGCCTCTTCTAAGCCTTCATCTCGTTGCCACCGTCGTAGTGTGAGCCACCAAAACCAGCACGCAAGGGCCTGCTGCTGGGTGAGGGTGAGGTGTGGGGCCCAGACAGCTGCTAGCACTGCGCTTCGTCCTCTTCTAACCTGCTTGGGGATAAATTATTGAGTGGCTCTCATTCAGCAGTGAGCTGAGCAGCCCATCTGGTGAGCGGACTTCACCCGAGCTCTGTAACCCGAGAGGGAGCTAGGAGCTGATCCCACAGCTCGTGTGGGCTTGGGTCTGAGCCTCCCTCTCCTAACCGTGGTGCATCGTTCACTGCTGGGGTCCCCTAATGGTTCAGTTCCTGGCTTCTGGGGCCTCTGTGTGGGATGTTGAGCCCCAAAGCAGTGGGGCCTTGTCGCTGTGTGCCCAGGTTGCTGCAGCACGAGAACGAAGAGCTGCGCCGGCGGCTGACCTACGTGACGAACAAAATGGAGGCGATGGAGAGGGAGCTGGAGTCGGGGCAGGACTACCTGGAGATGGAGCTGGGCCAGAACCGGGAGGAGCTGGAGAAATTCAAAGACAAATTCCGTAGGTATGGAAAAGAAAAACAAAAAAAAAAAAAGAGGGACAGAGTTGGAGAGATCGCTCCCACCAAGGGCTCCCTCGTTTGCTTCGAGCAGGCTGTGCCCTGCTGTGTCGATCGGAGGCATGCTGTCCTCAGAAAGGTGCTCTCCCAGACTGAGGGGAGGGTGAAAGCCTCACAAGTATTGTTTCCTCCACGGTGCAGCAGGCACGCTGCTAGCTTGAGGGGTTGTCACAGCTCATGGAGTCATCCAACGTCCTCACACCCTCCCCAGCAAAAGCATGAAGGGTCACCCAGCCAACCTCAGCTCGCCTCTAGTAATTTGGGGTCTGGAGGCCATTATGAGGCAGAGGTGAGGCACAGCTGACATACCTTGGTGTCTTAGTGCTGGGAGTATCAGTCTGCCTGGAGGTGTGGATTAATTGGTTTGCTGGGCAGTGATGAAGAAGACTTGTGTGAATGCCTGAGATCCATTCCCACGTGTACCACCTTGGTCCTGTAGGTTGCAGAACAGCTACACCGCTTCCCAGAGAACCAACCAGGACCTGGAGGAGAAGCTGCACGCCCTAGTAAGTGCCTTACTCAGCCCCTACAGAGAGGAGGTGGAGGTAGAGCTGTATGCTAGGAGCAGAAGGGGGAAGGGGCCCTGGCTTTAGCCAGCAGGCGTGGAGGTGGGCGAGGGTTGGGATTCTGGCCACGACCACCTAATCCCCCTTCTGGCTGGTGTCGTGAGCTGGTTCCTTGGTTTACGGAGCCCCTACCTGGTCATGCACGTGAGCTTGGTTGCCCACAACATAACCGCATGGTGTCCGTCCGTCGTGTTGCTTCAGTCCCTCTGGAAATGCCAGGGATGTGCCAGCCGCTCCTGGGGGGCTCGTCCTGGGGGGACGGGGACAGTCAGAGCAGAGCCAGCGTGCGTGTGTGTGTCTGTTGTGTGCATTCATAACACTCATGGCTGTTTCTTTTCTCTCCCTCCCCCTCTCTCTCTCTCTCTCTCTCTTTCTCCTCCCCACGCTGCTGCTGGCACACGCTGGGCGCGCTCACCTCTCAGGCCTCTCTCAGCCAAAGCTGGATTTTTGCAGTTGCGTCTTTTCGTTTGTGTGTTTTTTCTTTTTTTCCCCCTTTTACGTGTCCCGGCCTGTCGGTTTCATTGGCAGTCCCACATGCTCCAGCCCAGCTGGAGGGGGGCCCCCAGCCCTCGTCCAGCCAAGGGCTCACCTGGTATCCAGCAGCTGCCCGCAGCTGCAGCAGGCCCTGGCTTGCAGCGCTCCATCCGAAGAGCGTTTGACACCGAGCCAGTTTTCTCTTCTTAATCTGTCGCTTGAATTTCTTGGGTCAGTATTCATTGTGCCCCTCTTACATCTGGGTCTCTGCCTGCCCTGCTCCTAAACTGTTAGGGAGTCTGAAGAGACAGTACCACGTGCATTAGGGTGGGTGTTGAGTTAGCTCCAGGTCCTTTTTCTTACCAGAGCAAGGCTTGAGCTCTTTCAAGGTGGTGTCCTTTCCCTGCCAAACAAATCTGTCTGTTCAGCACAGCCCGCTGACCTGTATGGGCTGTTGCTCTGTTCCCCCAGAGCAGAGGGCTGGGTATCACAAATTTATAGCTCCTTGCTGCTGTGGCAGGATGGGATGAACTATTCAAAGCCACCACCTTTCCATCAGGCACCCCATCAGCCAGGGCAGAGAGGAAACGTGGTTGTGCTGCGTTAAGGAGCTTTCAACTCAGCTGTCACCTCTGCAACCAGCAGAGTGGCCGGCTCCTCTTGCCTTCGGAGGCCCTCCCTGGGTGAAGAGCCAGCCTGTCCCCCTTGTCTGTCTGTCTGGAAGTCTTTGTATCCCAGCTGAACGTGGCATTGTGCTATGCTGGGGATGAGGTGGGTGGTGGAGCCGGTTTCTTCTGTGCTGGGGGGATTTACACCCTTCTGTTTTCGCATCCCAGATCAAAAAGGCGGAGATGGACCGCAAGACGCTGGACTGGGAGATTGTGGAGCTCACTAATAAACTGCTCGATGCCAAAACTACCATCAACAAGCTGGAAGAACTCAACGTAAGTGAGTCTGCAAAGGGTTGTGCAAGCGTGGTGAGGTGTGGGCTCATCCTCTGGTTCAAAGTCATGGGCGTAAAGGAGCACGGGGATGACTTCAGTGTTTATGAAGGCGGGGGAGCTGCACGCAGTGGTAGGGACAGGCAAACAGAAAAAAGGCCTGAGGGACTGGGCAAGGAAGGGCTGATCTGCACGGCTGATGATCAGACTCCTTTGGTGTCTGAGCTTAAGGTTTGACCTGAGCCCAGGCTGTACCAACTGAGGGGACTTGTGGAGATGAATTTCACGGGGAGGGAGGAGTTGAAAGGGACGTGCTGGCTGAGCCTTGAGAAATACATGGCCCTTCTGTTTGAGCAGCACCTGGCCAGGTGGTGCCTTTTTGGGGAGCAGCTACGAGCCTGGCGTGGCTGCACACTGTGCCCTTTCTTGCAGGAACGCTACCGGCAGGACTGCAACCTTGCGGTACAGCTGCTCAAGTGCAACAAGTCCCACTTCAGGAACCACAAGTTTGCCGATGTGAGTAGCAGCCCCGCGGAGGCGGGGAAGGAGGGCTCGTGGTTTCCACCTGCACCTTGCCTTTTTCCAGCTTTCTCTGCGGGGCTGTTGGCCTCTCACCCTTCAGCCCCGGGCAGAGGTGTGGGGGGCTCCTGCTCCCGCTCCCACTGGGAGGGCAGCGCAGAGCCTCTGCCAGCTCCTCTTTCACCCCGGCTCCATTTCACAGGAGCTGTTATAAAAAGCACAATAACCTTGAATTCGATAGCCTGCCGGGTGCCTGCTGGAAGCTGGCGGGAGGACAGACCTCTCTCTTACCCTGCTCCGTCCTCTTGCCTTTCTCACCTGTCCACGTGCAAGGGCCACGCTGGCAGATCAGTGGTTTGCTGAGGAGCAGTTCGGGGGGCAGCGTTCAGGGTGTCTTTTCGGCCTCCTGAACGGGAGAAGTCGGTACCAGGACGTGCTCCCCCTTGTGGGGTCTGCTCAGCTTGTCCTGCCTTCAGGGTAAGCAAAGGGAGAGCATCACTTCTCCAGTTGGGAACATGAAATCTGCTTTGGGCCCTCACCCCAGCTCTCTCTTTGCCTGTGCCCTTAGTCCCCAGCCCTTGGTAAGCTCCTCTCAGCAACGCCGTGTGCTCATCTTTAGTAACTCAGCAGGTGACCGATGTGTCCCCCTCCCCCTTTGTGTCTCAAATTAGCGCTCCTGAGGTCCGTGTGTATCAGTTACTGCTGGGGTAACCTTGACCCCTCTCCCAGCTGTCTCCCCTCCCCAGGGCTTTGCATTCTGCCCCCCCACAGGGCCGTGTCCCACGCTGGAGGGGGGGTCTGCCCCTCCGCCAGCTGTTCTCACGCACCCTGCCCTGTGCCTCCAGCCTGGGACAGGGTTTCCTTCTGGCTGTGACACGGGACAGACCCCGTTGTGCCACGGAGCGGCTCGTGGAGCTCTGCTGTCCACCCTCTGCATCTCCGAAATGGAGAGAGGGAGGAAGTGGGATCAGCAGGGATGAGGGAAGGCATCGATCCCGATGACGGGCAGGCTGCCAGGGTGGCCAGGCTGTAATTACAGCGTGTGGGGAGCGCTGCGGGTCCTGCACTGGGGGCTGTTCAGTCACTGGTGCAACCACCAGTGGATTTTCCACCGATCAATAGGCCTCCCCCTAGCATGGGCTGGCAGGGCCCTGCCTCTGCGCTCACAGGCGTGGGGGACGGAGTCCTGCCTGCCACCTTTTCCTGGCCTTTTTCCGAGCTGGGTGTGAGAGCCACGGCCTGGAAATATGGCTGGTGTGACAGCCAGAGAGCCTTGTTAGTCCCTTGTATGGGGCAGGTTCTCAGTGGAAAGAGATTTCTTCCTCAGGGCAAGTTGGGTGAACGTTAGGGTTGAGATAAGGAGTAAGAGTACCTGTGAAGATGGGTTGGGACAGGCAGGTTAACTGGGGCGTCATGGTTTCTGTGGCAGCACCCTTCTGATGTCCTTTTCCTTCTCCCCAGCTTCCCTACGAGCTGCAGGACATGGTCAACAAGCATTTGCACAGCACTCAGGAGTCTTCAGGCCCTGGCCAAGAGGCAACCCATACCTTGGCCCCATCTGATGTTGTGCCCACCTCGGTCATCGCCAGAGTCCTGGAGAAGCCGGAATCCCTGGTGCTGAATTCGGCCAAGTCCAGCAGCGGCAGCTGCCCCATGGCTGAGGATGTGTTTGTGCACGTGGACATGAGCGGAGCCCCTCCTGAGGCCTGCCAGAGCGCGGGCCAGCCGGGGAAGGAGGGAGGGGACGCAGGCAAGCAGCAGAACGGCGGCTGCAAGCCGCAAGGCAGCGTGGAGAGCGTCCCCGAGGACGCGCCGGCCTTTGAGAAGCTCAGCCCATACCCTACCCCGTCTCCCCCCCACCCCATCTACCCCGGGCGCAAGGTGATCGAGTTCTCCGAGGACAAGGTAAGGATCCCGAAGAACAGCCCCCTGCCCAACTGCACGTACGCCACGCGCCAGGCCATCTCGCTCAGCCTGGTGCAGAGCGAGGACGAGAGCTGCGACCGGCACCGGACGCTGCCCGGCAGCCCCGCATCCGAAGGGCGCCGCTCGGCCTCCAGCTGCTCCTGCCAGCAGTCCCCCAAAACAGCCGGGGCTCCCGGCTCGTCCCACAGCAGCCCCTTCAGCAGCCCGCCCCAAATCCCCAGCGCCTTCGCCAGCTCGGCCAGCTCGGAGGAGGATCTGCTGGCCAACTGGCAGCGCGTGTTCGTGGACAAGGCGCCCCCCAGCTCGGAGCGGGCGCTGCTGAACCGCACGGCTTTCGGCCGTGACACCGCCCCGGAGCTGCAGAAGAGGTTCAGCCGCTCCATGCAGGAGCTGGGCAGGGCGGCCTCAGCCTACTCGGACGGCGAGGAGTCGGCGCAGAGCTGCAGCTGGACCGTCAGCCGGGACTCGAGCGTGGACACGGACAGCACCGAGTCCAGAGCCCGCCGGAGCCACTTCTCCTCGGACTACGGCACGGATTTCTCCCAGGACGAAGCCCAGAAGCTGCTGCAGGGAGGTGGTGGAGGCCCCGCGGAGCCTGGAAGCCCCCCGCTGGAGAAGCACAAGGACTACGTGGACCTCGGCTTGCCCGAGAGCCCGGCTGACGAGAGAGAAATGTTGCTGCCGGGATGCAAGGAGAGCAGCCAAGGAGGAGCTCAGGAGGAGAGCGGCGAGGGCAGCAGGGCCAGGCCTCCCTTCGGCCGGCCGCACCGCAGCCCCAAGAGGATGGGGGTCCACCACTTGCACCGCAAGGACAGCCTGACACAAGCCCAGGAGCAGGGCAACCTGCTCAGCTGAGGCAGGAGCAGCAGCAGCCGCGCGCCGCGGGACGCCTCCACCTCCCCACTTTCTTCCCAGGGAGAAAAACCTCTCGCTACCCTCTCACGCTCTGAAGTTTTATATTTATTCTCCTCTTTGGCTACCCTCGGGCCCGCAGCACACCCGCTGCCCCGGCGCGCTCGCGGCTGTCCCCGCAGCCTCACACTGGTGCCTGTACCGGACTCAGTTCTGGGTACCCCTCGTCCCGGCGTGCCTCTGCCTCTCCGCGCTCTCACCCTCCCTTTTTCCCTTCCCACTCAGGTACCTGAGGCCCTGGCTGCTCTCTTTCAACTCGTGCCAACGGGGCAGAGCGCCCGACGGTGGCGTCTGAGCCCCTGGGAGCCCCCGGGGGCCCCGGCTGCCTCCGTGCGTCCCCTCCCCGGGCAGAGGAGGTTTGGTTTTGGGGCTTTGTTTGTGCGTCTCCTCCCTCACACCTCTTCTTGTTGTTTTGTTGGAAGGCTGCTGCCTCTTCTCCTCTTGGGTGGGCTGCTTTCTTCTCGCCCGCCCTCGGGTTTTTGGGGTGGGTTGTTTTTTTCCCTTCCCCACCCTGCAGAAACAGCCGCAGCGCTTGGCAGCCAGGCTGCTCCCTGCGCCGAGGGCGGCCCCGAGCCCCGATTCCCTTCTCACCAGCCCGCAGAACGCCCTCCAGCCTCAGCAACGAGATGGTGAAGGATGCTGCTGGGATTTTGGGGGCAGGAGGGCTCGTGGGGATGCGAGGGCAGTGCTCTGGGAAGCTACTCCCTGCCTCCCGGCTCAGCAGCAGCCCTTTGCCAGGGGCTTTGTGCCCCCTTCTTTTGGGGGGGCCCCAGGCTGGCTCTGGTGCCTCTCTGGGGCTTCCCCTTCTGGGTAGGGCCTCCAGGCGTGTTTTTTTTCCTAGCCTAGCGTGATCTCGTGACTTTTCTTCGCTGTCTCGTGTGCTCAGTGTCTTATCGGGGAGGGGGGAGGGAAGGGGAGAGGTCTGTAGGTGTAGGTTTGTTTTTTTGTTTTTTTGTTTTTTTTGAGGGCTCTCGTGGCCTGCTGTCCCGTTTTAATTTCGTCCCGTGCCCTTGTCTTGTCTCGTGTCTCTCACCTGGCCCAGGGGGGCGAGGCAGAGGGCCAGCCTGGCTCCTGGGCCGTGCTCCCCTCGCACCTGCTGGCTGATCCTTGGCCTGCTGGCTGTTGGTTTTTTCTTTTTTTTAGTTGCATTTGCATTGTCTTCCTGCCCTGCTCCCTCAGTGCTCCTTGCTGGGCTAGGGGAGAGCATCCCTCTGCCGGGGAGGGAGCCAACAGCCAGAGATGCAGCCCAAAGCTGCCCGGGGGCCCTGCTCCCCTCCCCAAATCCCTGTTTTTTCAGAGGGCTGCTTGCAGCTGGGGCCTCAACCCCAGCCCAGAGGCTCCAGGGCCTGTGAAAAGGAGCTGCAGGCCCCTGCGCCGTCACCCTGCGGCCCACCTCAGGCAGCTGCGGAGCCGGGGCTCGGCCTTTCACTGCAGTTATTTCACTCGATTCCTGTGCAAACAGGCTGGTGCTGAGAGCAGGAGCCTCCCTTCAGCTCGCAGGGCGTTATCTCCTGCCCTGAAGCCGGGAGGAGCGGAGCCCTCCCCGGCTGGCGCGGTGCCTGCCCCCTGCGCCCCCCTTGGCTCTGGGGCCTCGAGCTGACCCCGCTCCCGGCATCCCACCTCCAGACTGTTAATCTGTAACTAACGTGGTTTGTTTTTGTTTTTGTTTTCTGAAATTTTCAAACTGATGTATATTTTAAGAGCAGAAATAAACTATTTTAAAAGTAAGGGGGGGATGGCTGCAGTGTTTTCTCACCTGAGACCGCTCTTGAGCGTGTTGGTGGAGGAGCAGAGCCTCTGGTGGAGTGTGTGTGCGACCTGCAAGCGTGCCAGGCACTGAATTGGCTGATCACCCGCTCCGTGCCTGCTTTGTGATGCCCTAAGCAGGCTCAGAGGCACCCAGAAAACAGCTGAGCCAAGTTAATGCTGCCCTCCAGCCCCTTATTTCTGGAGCTGCAGCTCAGCTGGGCCATGAGCAGCCCCCTGGGACTGTGGGCACGCAGACAGCCCAGAGGGGAGCCAGGGGATGCCAGGGCGGTGCTGCCCCCTGCTGCCTTCAAGCAGGGCCGGGGCACTGCTGTAGCAGAGGCAAAACAGGAGGAAATTCCCCTTTTTGCCACCATTTCTGGTTCAGCATGAAGGCTGTGGGAGGCTCGGGTGGCTGCGAGCGGTGCCGCGGCTGTGCCCTTCATAAAACTCTGGTTGCAACAGCAGGACAGGCAATAGAAAGACCATCTCTTATACACATCTGAATAAATACAGCCCGCACCCTGCGGGGCGCAGCCAAGGCGTGGGGGGGACAGAGAGAGGCAGGGCAGCGTGAGCTACGCATGCAGCGACTGGACAATCACAAGCGGCCGACGGGGCGCGTGACGACACAGAGAGGCGTGTGGAGATTCACTCGGACCGGGCTCTGGTGCTCTGGGAGCCAACGACGGGAGGTGAAATGTGTGAGGAGAGCCTCAGGGCAGCTCAGCGGAGGCACGGGGGCTTGGTGGGTGCGTGCTCCCCGTCCCCAGTGTGCGTGGTGCCAGCGCCGGCGCTGTCCTGGGCAGGAGCAGGCAGGGGAGCCCAGCTACATCTCCGTTTCTGCCAGGAGGCTGTCGCCGAGTCCCGACGTCATCAGGACCATCTGGGAGCTGGGAGCTGTGGTGAGAGAGGGAGAAAACCATGAGATTTTTGGGTTGTGGGAGAGCGCGGAGCCAGAGGTGAGGATGAGGAATCTCCGACACGTTAAGTGCAGTGGTAGCGGTCCCGCTGACCCAGCTGTGCCTTTAGGCAGCCCCACACCTCTGAACCTGCAGGCACCGAGCACCTTCCCAGCTCCACAGCCAGCAGCCAGCTGGGGTGAGCTGCACGCAGCCCAAACCCACACGGGCAAGCAGCCGTTTTGTGGTGGTAGAGGCCTGGAAATCCTGATCGTGTGCCCTGTGAACGGAGGGTTTGTGCAGCCCTCCCTCCTCCGCCTGGCTTCAGGAAGGACCGGGGCAGTCCTCGGGCTCGGGGATGGCACAGGGTGCTGGCCAGGAGCTCGGTGACTCCCCCTGCCAAGGGAACTGGCTGCAGGGAGGATGGGCACGCATACCAAGAAGCCAACAGGGCAGCAGGAGGCTTTCTAAACCACAGAAAAAGTGTTTTTCCTGGATGCAAAGGGGGGGAGATAGTTAGAGCCCTTGTGCTTCAGATCCAGACCTCGCATATTCAAAACTGCACAGGGGGATCTCTGTTTTGGGGATCGGTTTCTGGAAACTGGATCCCAAACTCAGCCAAAGCTGCCAGCAAAGGAGGTTTATGGCTCTAACAAACGAAGAACCAGATGTTGTGAGGCGCTGGGAGTGCTTGGGCTTGTCTGCTAGCCTGATATTAGTATTGTGAGGGAGGGAAGGACAATTAGAGATGTAAGGTGAAAAAAATAAAAAATCCCAAACCACCAAGCCAGCAGAATCATGATGTAGGCATGGCGATGCACAATATTATACACACAACAGGCAATTGCTCTTCCCATCATGTACCTTATTTTCTGTTACAGGCCCCTGCACAGGCAGGCTGTGGCACCTGGCTCACCCCTCGCAAGTTTAGGCCACAGAGATAGGAAAAGCTGCTCCTGTGCCTGTTCCAGGGAGGTTCTGGAAGCGGTGAGGAATGACACGAGTTTTGGCTAGGATGTCTGGCAAAGGCCCCTGAGATCTTGAATGCTCCTGCCCTTGGTTTTAAGGCTTTGCACAAAGATTTAATTCCTGCAGCATCAGGAGAAACGCCTCTGAGGTACCGCTTCTGCTCTTTGCTGCATTGTCCTTGGAGGTTCCCTTTCCAAGCAGAGCTCAGCCCAACGCTGCTTAACGCCAAGGTCGTGGCTGGGGGCTGTCTGGATTGCAGCTCACAGGGATGAGGGACCAACCCCACCACGAGATCAGTGGCACTAGAAACACCCCAAACATCCCTATCGCCGTCTGCCAGCCCCACCAGGCCAGGCCCAGAGCTCTTACTGTTCTGGCAGATCCAGGGGTTCTTCTCCCTGGCCGTGACTTCGCGAGCCTCCGTTTCCTCCTCTTCCTCGCCCTCCGAGAGCAGGTCAGAGATCTGCTGCTGCAGCTCCGGACTGATGTTGTTCTCCGCCAGGATGAGTGTCCGTAGGGCCGTGGGGTAATTCTCCACCATGTCCAGCAAGGTCTGGGCAGAGAGCGAGATAAAAGCAGGCTGACGAGCAGCACAAACAGCAGCTAGGTTCAACAGGAAGAGTTTCAGCACCCTGCCTCCCCACAAGCTCCAGCCCTCCTCTTTTTATCTCTGCCATCCTTCAGCTTTGACCTCCCTCTGCCAGACTTTTTGAGGACTTCTCGTCTTGCTGTGGGGAGAACTGAGCCTGGATTTCTTGGCTCCGTCCAAAAAGGAGGCTGCTCTACACCTGCTGCTCCCACATACCCAGGCAAGGCCCCTCCTACCGCTGGGAGCTGCACATGGACCTCTGATTCTCCATCACAAATCCAACCCCTTACTTCTCCCAAGAAACCCAAACTACAGGCAGAGCTGTGTGACTTTCTCTGCTGCCTTGGGGGAGGCCCAGGAGCTCTAGGTCAGAGCTGTGCCTTCCAAGTTCCTCCTGTGGCTGAGTGCTGCGAGCCTGGGGAAAGCAGCAGCACCTCTGGGTGCAGGGAGGGAAGGGGATGTGTGTGGAGTCTGGAAGGGGCAGGGAGGCAGGTAGAGATCCTGGTGCCCCTACAGGTGGCCAGGACCAATTTCAGTGGGGCTTCAGTGATGCTGCAGAGTAACAGGTTTCCTTACCTGGGCCGACTGGTTGGTAAGTCCTGTTCCCTCCAAATCCAGCACTTCAAGGGTTCGACTGGAGGCCACAGCGACAGCGAGCATCCCTGCTACCTGGTCACCTGGAGGAGAAGCAAACCAGGGCTGTCGGCAGTGCCTGCCTTCGCTCACACACCCCCCCTGCCCTCGTGGGGCTGGGGGTGTCACGGAAACACCCCGGGGCCTTCACCGCCCTGGAGGGGGGCTCCATTTCCAGTAGGGAAGCGAGGTGGGAAGCGCCCAGCCGCTGCGCCGGGTAGGGAGGCCCGGCCTGGTCTCCTCCTCACCACCTTGCAGCAGAGCTGGAGAGAGTTGGTTTCTATGGCAACCCATGCCAGCCTCTCCTCCTCCTCCTCCCTGCTCCGGGAGAAGGGAAGGGGGGAGCAGGGGGATGCTTGGCTTCTGCCGAGCTGACGTCAGGCCATGGGGCAGAAGCAGGGGGTCAAACATGATGGCAAACACAGGCAGGGCATGTGGCCACGCCGCCCAGAGCAGCGAGGCTGGCTTCCCGACTGCCAAGGGTGCTTGGCAGGGTGGATTCACTGCTGGGAACCAGACAGGATCAGTGCAAGGTCCCCATCCTGCTGGGGAAGCTCTGCTGCCCATGCAGAGCTCGGCCCCTGGCCACCCAGCAAAGCAAACTGCAGAAGCCCGGGAAGGCAGGAGTCAGTCCCCTGCAGTGTCCCCTGCTCGCCCTCCCCGGTCCCCCAGCTTACCCAGGGGGTTGTAGTCCAGGTTCAACACTCGGAGCTGGGAGCTGTGAGCCACCGCAATGGCCAGGCGGCCCCAGCCTTTGCTTGTGACACCCGGGTTGGCGCTCAGCGTTAGCTCTTTGAGGCCTGGAGAAGAGAGAGAAGCCAAACCAGAGCCTGAGGATCACCGAAGCAGCCGGAGGGGAACTAGTTCAGCTAACCAGAGCAGCTTTGAGTCGTGTCCCCTGGACTCCGACAGGTTACAGGGTTTGGTTTGCTCCAACAAACATCATTTTTTACCCTGCCTTCCACAGTGTCCCTTTATCTGCCCCTGCTGTGACTGCCCCATTTCTCTGCTCTCACAACCTGTGCTCTGCTTACCCTAAATAGCAAGCACAACCGAGACAAGGGCTGTGCGAGGCGACTGACTAGAAGGAGGCGGCATGAGGTGACAGGTCAGAGAGAGGATCACAGGGACGGTGGGCTCTGAAGCCTGCACCTAGGAGTGCTAAGCCACTAAGGCTATCACCAACCATCTACACACCCACCGAGTGCACCCAGAACTGGGGACAATTCTCAGGCGCTGACAGTGAACCAAGTGCTGGGGTAGGGGGTACGCCATATATTTATCTGTGGTCATTATCAGCACATAAACAGAAGATAATAAATGCAAAGCCCAAGCTCTCCCCTCCTCCAGTTTCACATGCTGCTGTCATAAAGCAGAAGCAACCTGTTGGTCTCTGAGCAACAAACTGCCAGCAGGACAGATCAATAGCAGAAAGCCCACGCCTGCCCAAGGGAACCGGTCCTGTATCGCTTGGCTTTTCTGCTGTACTGAAGTCGGAAAAATAAATGCCTGAGCCCAAACTACAGAGCCTGCTGCTCCCAGGGCTGAGGATTTACTGCTGCATGGAAAAGCTCCACTGGTTCCTGTGCAGCCCACGGCTCCTGGTGCTTACCTGACTTAGCCCCATCGGGTGGCAGGAGCCCACAGATCAGGTTGATGCCTTCGTCCCCCAGCATGCAGTCTCCTAAATCCAGAGCCACCAGCGAGGGATGGATGGAGAGCGCAGGGTTGAGGAGGGCCAAGCCTGCATCCGTCAGGGGACTGCCATGGAGGCTGCGTGGGTCAAAGGGAAAATTACCACGGAGCCTTCTAGGGGCAAGCTGACCCGGTGGGGAGCGAGAAGTGGGTGAAGTGAGGAGGAGGAGGGGGACAAATCCCAGTGTCAGGCAGGGAAAAAGCCTCAGGAGGGCTCTGCAGAGGGGGCCAGCCGGCAGCTATGGAGCCTGGCAGGGACGAGGGGGTGTGGAGGGCACTGGCGAGGCTCAGGTGGGTGTGGGGGAACCCAGGTTTTTAGGGGATGGGGCTGAAACCGTGCCAAGCAGGCGGGAAAGCCCGGTGAAGGGCGAGGGGTGAAGGCAATGTCAAGGGCATTTCTCCCCTGACGAGATGTAAACTCCAGGGAGCTGCCGGGCACCCCGAGCAGCATCACCCGGCCGGGGATCGCGGCTACTCACAAGAGGGACTGGACGGAGCGGTTGGTCTTGAGGGCCTCGGCCAGCTGCTTGACGCGGTTGATGTTGGAGACGATGCCCAGGTTGAGGTTGAGCTGGGCGAGGGAGCGCGACTCGGCCGCCCCCCGGCAGACGTGCCCGAAGTCCCGCTCCGACAGCTGGCAGCCCCGCAGCGACAGCAGCCGCACCGAGTTCTCCCGCAGGCTCTCGCAGATGTCCCGGATCTCGGCTCCCGACAGCGTCTCGCCGGAGATCTGGATGGAGCCCGGCAGCATCTTCCCCAGCCTCGGGGAGCCGCCGGGGCTCGCAGCGAGCTCCGGCCACACCGCGGCCCCGGGGGCGGCCCCGGGGGGCTCAGCCTCACCGGCGGCCGCCGCCAACAGCCGAGGGGGGAGCCATCGGCGGGGCGGCTGAAGGCGTTGAGCCGGCCGGGGAGCTCCGCCGAGCCGGCAGCGGCCAGAGGGGGCCGGGCGGCCCCGCTGCTCCCGCCCCGCTCCGCCCGCACCTGCGGGGCCGCTCCGCCTCCCCCCCGCCCCCCGCCTCCCGCCCAGCCCGCCCCGTCACGGCCCCGCCGCCATTTTGCGCCCCGCCGCCACTCGAGGCCCCTGAGGGGTGTGGGGTGAAGGGTGCGCGGCCCCGCGGGGGAGGTTTGGGGTCTGGGGGGGGTTTGCTCTCTCCAAACTAAGCCGATGTCTTGAGGAGAGCAAAAGCTGGAGCAGAGTGGGTGGTCCAGGGGTTGAAACCTGTGGAGAGGATGAAATTTGCGCTTCCACAGCTGGCCAGATCGCTATAGCGGGCTGTGGTGTGGTGCTGAAGTAGGTTAATTTGTGTATTTTCCCCTCAGAAGGGCTCTGGAGCACATCAGGAGAAGCAGAGAGAATCAGGCCATTTATCGCACTTCTGCTGGTGTTTTGGGAAAAAAAAAAAAAAAAAAAAAAAAAAAACCACCAAATGTGTGCCTGCCAGAGCGAGGGGGCTGTGGAGATAGGCGGATGTTTCCTCAGGCACTGGGGACATGGCTGTGGCAGAGACAGGCTGCTGGTAAAGGAGAGACCCTGCCCCTCGTCACCAGCCCTGCTGCGTGCCAGGAGGCGGCTGGTACAAGGTATTGGGGCTGGGGAAGTGCCACAGGTTTGCCCCCCTCAGCAGCACACAGCCTCAGCCCGGTGAGAGATGCGAGGGGCATGCCTGACCTTCTTGTGATTTGGTGGTGCAGGTCACAGGGATTTGCTCCCTCTTTCCCCTCTTCTGGCAGTGCTGTGCTTGGAGAGAGAGATGAAGCAGGGCCCTTGTCATTTCGACTCCGCTGAGCCGAAAAAGGAAGCCAGTGATGTGGAAATTAGGTTAAACCACATAAGTAGGCAGCTTTCTGCACGTAACTAATCTGTTAAGGAGAAAGCCTGGCTGCTGCATACAGCAATGCTCAAGTGAATTCCGATGCAGTGGGTAACTGAGGCGCAAACCCGGGCTCCTCTGCTTTGTTTGCAGGCCAGGAGGAGGTGGAAAGCGAGGAGAAACATGGGGTATGCAGGGGGACATGAAGCAGTTTTCTTCCTTCTGAAATGAAGGAGCAGGTCACCTGAGCCACAGGGTTGTATGTTATGTCCTGGATGAGGCCAAGGGAGAGAGCAGATAAGCTAGAATTGGATATCAACTTTAAGACTTTGGCTTCAGCATCTAATTTACCAAACAGGTGTCACCCTGCTTTTTGAGTAATCCATTGCTGCTCTTCAGGGCTATCTACATATGTCTCCTTGTTTTCCTGTTGTATAGGGGTGCATGGACTCACTCCAGCATCTGCAAGCTGCATCAAGAGCAGACGGCAGGCCTGGCAACACATCTGTGTTGGGATATGCACAGCAGCTGTATGCAGCCATCAGCAAGGTCCTGGTGCAGGTGGAAAGGATCTCCTGGTCTCTGAGGTCATTAAATGGTCCAGGTGAGAGCGGGATCCTGTGTGTTTCAGGGCTGTGAGTGGCAGAGAGTGAATGTCAGGGTGCTGAGCAGGGGGGGTATGACCAAGTAAACAGCAGCTGCTGATCAGCACAGGTCGCATGGAAGGCTGCACTCAGTCTCACCTCACGCTCACCTCCGGGCAGTAATTAACCCATGCTTCATTCAGCAAGGCTATTATTAGAGAAGCACTTGGAGGAGAGCCCCTGGGACGCGTCCCACTTCAGTCGACAGCAGCAGCCTCAAAGCACTGCTTAGGGCATCAGGCTGCTTCTGGAGTCCTAGCGCTGGCATCTTCGCTGCCTGTCGTCAGGTGCAGGAGCACATTGAGGAGACAAACGTCCTACCTTGATTTATGCTCAAATACACTGGGAAAAGTGGCACAGGAGCTAGTGGTTGTGGTTCAAAGCCTTGGTTCACTAAGCCTCATCAAAGGCTGTGCAGAGGCAGATTTGGCAGTGGTGTTTTGTGAAGGATTAGGTATTACTTCCTTGTCCACGTGCAGTTACCCAGCAGGTATGAGGAAGGTGGTTTATTGTTCTCCTCCTGGGGTGTAAGGACAGAGCTGACTCCCCAGGTGGATGTCATTAATTCCTCACACGCAAATGGAGAAAAACAGTGGGTGACAAGCAGCTAGAGAGAGACTAGATGTAGGGAGGAAGACAAATGGGAGAACAAACAGCCTACTTGTAACCCAAAACACCACTAGGGTGACAGGAAGTGCAACAAGGAAAGACTCTAAAAATGGTCAGTCTTCCAGGCACTGCAGAGGAGAGAAGGAGGCCACAGCATGCTTTAATATATATATATATTTCTTCTTTCTAATCTGGCAGCCTTGAATGTTTATTTCAGCTTTAATAAAAAAAAAAAAGGGCTTACACAGCTCTTGCAGCATTACCCTTCCTCAAAAGCTGTGTGTGTGCAGGGGAATTATGTCAGATTTGCTGCAAGGGAGGAGGGAGAAGATGATTTTTGCTTTGTTGCAGGAGCCGTAGAAGAAAACAAAGGCATTAAAGGTAGAGAGAGCCTGGTGTGATGGAGATGTGAGGTTTGTGCTGGTAGCTAGAGGCCTTGAATAAGCACCGAGGTGCCCTCCCACAAAGCCTTGACTGAGGCAGTGTGTGCAGCACGCTCCGTGGAACTGCAGCACATATGCGTTTTCCTGCAAAAGCGTGTCTCCCTCTGTCAGCAAGAGGGGAGGCTGAATCTCTCAGCGCAGTGCTGAACTTGTGGCAGCACGGAATATTTCAAGCTCCAGCTGCTGCTGCACAGACAATAAATTGGGGCTGGGGAAATGGGGTAGAGCAAGCCCCACAGAATCTGATGAGGGTGTTTTGTCATTGCCCTGGTCACCTGTCCCCAGCTGACAGGACACGCAAGCTGCACAGGGGCAGCCTGAGGACTTTCCTCACTGCTGTCTCCTGTGCTTTGAGTCAAAACCCAGGGCCCAGCTTCATCCCTCTGACCCAGTGACGTGGCTGGGTGTGGGAGGGGGGCATAGGTCTTCTCTGACGGTGCGTATAGATCAGCAGTGATAGCGTTAGGGTGATTTTTCTTTATCTGGAATTATGCTGCTTGCAGTCATCTGCCTCCTTTCCTTCCCCTCTGCCTGGACTTGGAGAGTTTCTTCCAAGAGAAGCAGCCAGGGCAAGAGGCACAAGTCAGGAAATTAGAAGCCAACCTCCCGTGGAGCTATAAAGAGGGAAAAAGCAGGCTCACGCAGCATTACAAACTGACGCTTCCATTTTGTTAAGTCTGATAGTTAATGGGATTTCCAGGGGCTGACAGTGCTTCAATTGCTCCAAAAACCATGGGGGATATTGGCCCAAATGATTTGATTCCCCAAGCAACTTGCTCTGAGGTGTGTTCTCCGGCCAAAATAAATGTGGGGGCGTGGAAGACAGTGAGAGAATACGTCTGCTATGTACGTGCTGGGAGATGAGCTCCGTGCTCCTGGAGGGGGAACAAATCATAAATTCAGGAATAAGCAGAGCTGCAGAAGAGAGGTTTATGACTCAAAATGCTCAAGTCCTATCCAGTGACATTTTTGTTCTAACTGAAGCAGGTGACCAGCCTGTCCACAGTAGCTGGTGCCGTCTTCATGTCATTCATTGCACTGTGGCTCTAGTCTGAATGCCCCCACAGCCATGTCCTCCCCCACCAACAAGAAGAAGGGGCCAAAGAGAGCAGCTCTGACACGCTGCCTGCCTTGTGGGCTGTTCTCCTTCCCCGTTCCTGCTGGAGCTTTCCTGCATCAGGCTGCTGGATGAAACTGTGCCCGCTGCTCCCCTTGATTAACGGGAACACTGCTGTGGGAGAAGAGTTTGACAGAGCAATGAGAGCAAGCTGCACGAGGGTGAATGACCCTCCTCAACAGAAATATCCACAGGTGCAGGGACAGATTTCTAACGTACACAAGGGACAGTGAGGTGAGACAGCAGCTTGGACTATGTGAAAAGAGAAGGATCGATCTGGAACACAAGGAAGAGAATATGGTAAAAAAAGCATACTACTGCTGAAAATGTGCAGTGACACCGAAATTCATGTGCTTTTTGTCCAAGACAGGACTTGAAACATTTGAAGTAGCACAGCACAAAAGTGCAGGAATCCTGCTTTGAGCCTAGGACAGGGTGGATCAAGATGTAGAGACCCCGCACCACTCTCCCTTTACATAGGTAGGCTCAAACGTAAGACATCGTTCAGCACCAACATCAATTTAATTCTTCTCTCTTCGGGACAGGAACAGAGCAGACAGCCCTGGGGTTACATGAGCGAGTGGAAAGAGGGGTAAGGGACAAACCGAGCTGGGGAATCCCAGCTGAACATGCAGGCGACAGAGCCACTCTACTCAAGACAGCCCCGAGCTGGGTGGCAGAAGAGGGTAATCCTCCTGAGTCACTGAGGTGCTGTCCACTCAGCTGCTCACAACTGCAACCCGATGGACAGGTCTGAGAAAGCAAAACCAAGTCTTAACTCCTGCTGTTCTGTCCTTTTCCTAAGAGGCAGCAGGTTCCTCTGGCCCTATGCAGCCCCAGAAGTAGTGAAGGAAGCGAGTCCGAGACTGTGAAACTACAGGGTCAACGCGACGGCTTTGGCTGTTGTGTTCAGGACAGCGTTAGGAACAACTGGAATGTCTCTGGCGACTCTCTGGAAGGGCGGCATGTTGGGTCCTTCCAACGTGTCCAGGATGCCTGCGGGGAACAGCAGAGAGGGGAGAAGGGCAGGAGTTAGCTCAGAGGCAGGTGAACCTGAAGGTAGACACTGCGAGAAGTGTAAAGCCTCCCTCCACCTCATTCCAGCACGTATCCTGCTCTTAGACCAACTGTTTGCTTTTCTGTTGAAATACCCTTGCGGGCTTACAGCAGGAGCTGCAGCTGGGGGTGCGATACGGAATTTGTATCACTGCAATGCCAACATGAGCCGTGGTTGGCAGGAAGCACACATACTGCTGCAAGTGCTCTCCAGCTCCTGTCAATTACCCTCTCCAGCCTGAAAATCGGTCCTGGAGATCCTTGAAGAAAATTGCTTCGGCTATATTCTACCCTGTTTCATGTGCTAAGAAGTTGCAGATCAGGGCTCAGAACCTTAGCCGTGAGAGCAGATCCAGGAAAGAACAGTGTTTATCTCTAAAAGGACTTGAAATGCTATGCTGTAACCCTAAATTATGCAGATTTGATTTTTTTTTTTTTTTAAAGGGGCTAATAGGAGAAATACTACAATAAAGAGAGGACTTGAATCTGTACAGCCCGGTAAATAGCACTGACTGCAGGAAATGCAGGTTCTGCTGGCTGTGTTGTACAACACAAGCTCTAACGGCGTTATGCAAAGAAGGAATATTTTTGTGACATGTTTCCTGATCAGGATAAAGCAGCCTGATTTCACCAGCGCTCAGGAAGGGACCAGACATCTGCACGAGAGCAGTCGTTGCAGCAACTCTTCACTTGTGGGTAAAGACAAAGCTTTGTGCTTCACAACTAATGTCTTTAGTACTAAATTCAGCACACAGAGACTTCCCCATGTCAACCCCCTGCCCTGCTTTGACAGCTGCTGCTAACAAAGCTGGTGCTGCTTGATTTTGGGTGTGAAACTGGCCCAGGTGCCCTCAGGTCAGGTCCACGCTGCCCACAGGGGCTCCCTTCGTCTCTCCCTTGCTTACCTTCTACCACCTTGTGGTAAGCAAAGTGCAGATAGAGGAGGAAAAGCATATGCAGAGCAGCGAGGGTCCCGCACAGGATGAGCCTCTGGGTGTGCCCCACGGTGCGCGACACCAGCACAGCAACCTAGGGGAGAGGTGGAGATCAGGAGGTTGGAGACCAGGCAGCTGCCACCTCAGCCTCTGGTGCTGCGGTCAGGAGCACACAGGAGGATGGGCCAAGTAGCGAGAGCCAGTGGAAACGGCGCTCAGAGCCTTTTTCCCAGTCTGCACCAGCAAATTCAGAGTAATCTGACTTTGTCTGGGTAAATTCATCTTGCCCTATCTCACCAGGAGTTCAGGAGGCTCAGGCAGGAGACATTTCCCTCCCTTTTTGGTCCCCAGAAGAGGAGGGCTTCAGGCTGCCTGTCACTCACCATTCGTAGTGTAGAGAGTCCACCGACGACCAACCAGAAGATATAGAAGAGGGAATGGAAGTGGATGTTATAGGTGACAAACAGAGTGATGCAGTGGCCAAAAAGCCCATAGCCCTGACAAAACAAAAACAGCCACATTATAAACATCGCTCTCACTGAGCACAAGCAGCCTATTGCTGCAACGTTTCACCAAAGCAAAGCTCTGCAAGCCACTCCTTCAAGAGTCAACCATTTCCAGGTTGTCCCAGTGCAACGCTGACTTACAAAGACTTTTCCAGAACAGCTCACAGGCCACCCTCCCACTGGCACACCGTGCAGCCCCCCCATACATACCAACAGCGACAGCATCTGCACCATCGTGATCTGGGCGTTGCACAGATATGCCAGGAAATAGATGAAGGAGGAGACTCCCAACCAGTAGCCAAAGCAGGTGCCGATAGCCGTGCCCATCAGCGTGCCTTCCCTCTGCGGAGACAGCGTCAGGATGAAGAGAACTCAGAGAAGTGGCCTGCCAGCACCCAAATTCCACCTTGAAGTACCCAGAGCCTTTCACAAGCTATCAAATAGCTGGCTAGCAGCATGCAGGACACCACTGACCTACACCCCAGTTCTCCCAGCAGAAGAGCATCAAGACTTTCTGATGCAACGTTCCTCCCCTCCCTGAGCCAACAGGCTCTTCCTCAGATCTAAGCTTTTCAGCAAGGTGCTATTCTGTTACAGGAGGCTTTCTTTCCCTTTTTACTGTCATTTTGTCGTTCCCAAACCCAGTCAAACCCCAGCTTATCACTGAGACTCGCCGTACAATGATGGTGTCCGAGGTCTTCATCCCATGCAGAAGGATGGCCACCAGGGTGAAAACCAGCATGAGGGGTCCGTAAAGCTCACCTGCAATCTTCTACAGGGGAAGAGAGAGGGAGGAAGGTTTGGTCAGTGCTCCCAGCTACCAGGCTCCCCACCCCAGGTGACATGACGATTATCTTGGGTAGTTTGTCACCTGAGAAGTAACAGCAGCGCCACTGCTGACTGGAGCCAGACAGAAGAGGCTGTGTGAGGAGTCGTCAAAGTGGTGTTAAACAGAATGCAGAAAGGGGATAATTAAAATCTAGAGGTCTAGAACTGCACCAGAATGGGGTTTGGAACAACTGTAGGAAAGGGTTTACCATCTTTTACATTTGCAGGGAGGTAAACACCTAGCAAACTCAAATCCTTAATAACATGGAAGTTTTACAGGGTGTTTGTGGGACATTCACTCAGAGCATGGAGTCTCATTCAGCAAAAGAGAACTCACCTGTGGGAAATTAATCATCTTCACGGGAATCATGGACTCCAGCAGTCTGCATCGCAGCAAAGCAAGGAGTGACATCGAAAGCAGGAATGAGAAGAGAGTGAGTAAGATGCTTCAGAAGCACCAGACCCCACACATGCATCACCAACGCTTTCTGCTGTGGCTTATGGGCCTTGTGGGAGCGAGTCCTAGGGGGTCACATAAGGTAACTAAAGAAAACCCTACTGCCAGCGGGTTAGCTTTGCTGGGGAGGATTCAAAGGTGATATTTAGGGATCCACTCAGGGATGAGTGATCACTGGGAGAACGGCAGGAATTAAAAATACCTTTCTTCAGCCAGCCTCAGGAACTCGGCCTTTTTGGACGCACTACGCATCCCAACAGAAGCCACGTAAGCCCAGTGAATAGAAAAGCCTGAAGATGTCCTAAAACCCTCTTCACTTTGTTAAATTTTTCTCTGCTGAGCAGCTCAGCTGGGTGCTAAGGGCTGCTGCTGTTCCTGGGTGCCCTGAGGACAAGGAGCGGGCTCCTCACGCTGTGTTTCTGTGTCAGGGCCGTGCCCTGAAGCCCGCAGCCCACCCCACACACCCTCGGGCAGGGGCTGCCCACCTGGCGCGCACTTGGACGGGCTCCACGTCGAAGTATGGCCGCAGGATGTCGATGTTGGCGTAGAGGCTGAAGGCTTTCGACGCTTGCCTCTTGCCCACCTGCCACACCTGCGGGGAGAAGGCAGCGGGCAGCAGCGGTGATGCCAAGGGTGCGCGGGGGGCCACGGCGGGTCTGGCCTCACCTGGTCAGCGACCTGCCGGCCGAGCTGCCCCCGCAGCCCCTTGACGCCCAGGAACTCGCCGTCCTCCTCGTCGGCTCCCCCCGCCTCGCCGTCGTCCTCCTCCTCCTCCTTCATGCGCTGGTGCATCTCCCCCATGTCCTCGAAGCTGGAGCCCGACGTGTCGTCCATGTTCTCCATGTCGATCACGGCGGAGCCGCCGCCCTGAGGCCGAGCCGGGGCCACAAGGCGTCAGCCCCGCGCCTCTCCCTCCTCTCCCCTCCTCATCCTCCCGGTACCCACCTGCATGTTGTCCTCGAAGCCTCCCCACTCGGCGGCACCGCTCCTGACGGTGCCCGAGGGCCCGCTTCCCGGCCCGGTCCCCGTTCCCGGGGCCGCCATGGCCGCTGCTGTGAGGCGCTGGGGGGGGCGGCGCCGCTCTGACGCGGGCTCTCGCGGGATGGCGGCGGCGCCATCTTGTGTGCGGCGGCGGGCGGGGAGGGGAGGGGAAAAAAAAGGGAAAAGGAAAGGAAAAGGAAGGGGAAGGGACGCCACACGCCTCTTCTGCCCGGCCCCGGGGAGATGGCGAGCAGGCGGAGCACTGACGAGATGCGGGAGCGGGTGGTGCTGGGCGAGTTCGGCGTCCGCAATGTGAGGGGCGCGGGGCAGGGCAGGGCAGGGTGAGGGGTCTCGGGGTCGTGAGGGGGGTCCCGCCGTGCTCACGGGCTGTGCCTCCCCTCAGGTGCACAGCACCGACTTCCCCGGCAACTACCCCGGCTACGACGACGCCTGGGACCAGCAGCGCTTCGAGGAGGTGGGCAGGGGGCGGCGGGGTGCCGGCCCTGGGGTGTTTGTGGGGTCCCCGCTTGGGGCACGCTGTGGTGACATCCTGCTTGTCCTCTCCTCAGGAGTTCCGTGTGGACGTGGTGGGTGAGGAGGACGGCGTGCTGGAGTTCGACATGGTGGGCATCGACGCTGCCATCGCCAACGCCTTCCGCCGCATCCTGCTCGCCGAGGTAGGGCTAGGGGTGCTCTCGCATTGGGGCAGCCCTTGGAGCCTCGGGAAATGGGGGAAATTTCTCTTCGTGCCCGTGCCCAAGGAGAGACGGGAGCTTAGGAGCCTGAGCGTTACCGCTCAGTGCTCTTGAGGATGCTGTGGGTAGAGTTTGGGGGTTGCTCTGCCCTCCATCTCTCACACTCATCCCATTTAAAAAAAAAGAAGGGATAAGGGGTTTATCGGATAGCCTCATTTGGCAAGAATACCAGTGAAAACAGTCTGCAGAGCAATTATTTAAGGAAGGGAAGGGATGCTGAAAATAAGACCAGACTATCTGGATGTTCTGTCGGTGCATAGTTTGACTGTTCTCCTGTTAAGTCAACCTCTTGTCTCCTTGAGGTACCAACGATGGCTGTAGAGAAGGTTTTTGTGTACAACAACACATCCATTGTGCAGGACGAGATTCTGGCTCATCGCTTGGGCCTTATCCCAATCCGAGCTGACCCTCGACTCTTTGAATACAGAAATCAAGGTGAGAGTCTTGGATCAAGTAGACGTACTGAAGGGTGAACCCAAAGGCAGAAATTGGGGTCACGTAAACTGAGCAGAAGAGTGATTCCGCAAAGACTCATGATGTTCTCTCCTTCCCAGGAGATGAAGAAGGGACAGAAATTGATACATTGCAGTTCCAGCTGAAAATAAAATGCAGCCGAAATCCTCAGGCAGCCAAAGAATCATCTGACCCTAATGAGCTGTATTTCAATCACAAAGGTAAGTTATCTCTCTGTCCTAAAATTAGGAGTTGTTTTTTTCTTTTTCTTTTTTGTTCTGTTCTTGGGAGATGAGATTTGGATGTTCTCTCAGGCCTGTGAACAGAGACAGCTGATTCAGTTGTTCTGCTAAACTCACTTTTGACACCTCATGCCTATCCAGTCCTGTTTTCTGAGGCAGCAGCGGCTGATGCTTGCAGCTTCTCTTCACAGTGTACAGTAAGCACATGACGTGGGTGCCCTTGGGGAATCAGACAGACCTCTTCCCAGATGCTGACTTCCGACCTGTTCACGATGACATCCTCATTGCACTGTTGCGACCGGGCCAGGAAATAGACGTGCTCATGCACTGTGTCAAGGGTATAGGTGAGTGGCTCCTGGGGCAGGGGGGAGAGGAGTGTGTGTGCTCTGACTTGAGCACAGCTGTGTGGAGGGGAACTGTGGAGAATGGGCTTTCCCCCAGAATTTCAGGCCCTGGCATCACTGCACTCTCATTCCCCAAGGCTTGCCCTCATCCTTAACTCTTAACTGTTTGTGCAGGTAAAGATCACGCCAAGTTTTCTCCTGTGGCCACGGCGAGCTATCGACTGCTTCCTGACATTACTCTCCTGCAGCCTATTGAGGATGAGGCAGCCGAGACGTTGCAGAAGTGCTTTTCCCCTGGAGTCATTGAGATCCAGAACATCAAGGGTACTTTCTTCCCTGCTCTAAAGTGCCTTGTTCCTTACAAGTCTTAGCAGAGACTGATTTGTATTTGTGGCTTTGCTGCCTCTGCTGATGGGAGAGTGCTTGTTTGAGGGGTTGGTACCTTTCATGACTCCAAGGCATCCATCTGCTGCAGGTTTTGTCCTTTTCCCTTTCAGGAAAAAAGGTGGCGAGAGTCGCCAATGCACGGTTGGACACGTTCGGCAGGGAGGTTTTTCGACACGAGGGTCTGAAAAACCTTGTGCGCCTGGCAAGAGTGCGAAATCATTACATCTGTGAGTGTGACTTTATTTTCACAGCAGAGCCCTCCTCTGGCTTGTGCATATTTTAGGGGCAGCTTTGGGCCTGACCATGTTGGTGTTTCTTGCTGGCATGTGTAACCTCTTCCCTTCTGGCTGCAAAGAAGGAAGATGGGGGACAGAAATGCTGCGCAGCGGGGTGCTGACTTGTGTCTCTGTGCAGTTTCAGTGGAGTCCACGGGTATCTTGCCTCCAGACGTGCTGGTGAGCGAAGCCATCAAGATTCTGATGGGCAAGTGTCAGCGCTTCCTGAACGAGCTGGACGCTGTGCCAATGGAGTGACCGCAGGCAGCGGAGAAGCTTCTGGCACCTGCCTGCAGGAGCCGGTTCCTCTTCCATAGGAAAGAGGTTTGAGATGGGTTTAAGAGTCCTCAGACCATCTCTTTAAACTTTTATACTGTTTGTAATGAGCCTCAGTGAGGAGACGGACTAAAATAAAAGCTTTCTTTTACAGCTGTCTGCTTCTGTGCTGTTAACACATGTGTGGAGGAGGAGGTGGCAGCAGGCCTGCAGCTGAGTTCTAGCATTTATTTCAGGTCGCAAGCGGGGCGTGAAGAGGACCAATACGGCAGCGTAGTAGAGCACTTGGCAGCAGGTCAGTGAGATGGTGACAGGTCCCTGGCAGCTGGGGACTGCTTGGAGGCGTCAAGCTCTGGTCGCTTACAGGCTGCGTTGTCCTGTAGCACTGGGCTTCTGTGTATGTGGGGGGAGGTGAAAACATGCTCTGGAAAAACTGTCTGTCCCCTGTAAGTACCTCAAGCTACGGCATTTCTCTCCTCTGTTTGTTTGGACTGCTCTGTTCTCAGCCACTGAGCGGGATTTGGGCTCGCCTTGAAGCAGAAGTGGGTTTCCTGGGGCACAGTGGAGGGCGAGTGATGGGTCAGATGCCCGTCCCCACCGAGGGAAGCCTGGGACAACGTGCAGGTTAGCATCAGGGGGTCGGCATCATGTGCTGCTGTCAGCACAGGGAAGTTCCTGGCTTGTGGAAGCCTCTCTGGACAAGCTGATAAAAGAACAGGAGCACCAGAGTGGGCTGGGAGTGTTCCAGGTGCCCAAATTATTTGGATTGGGTGCAAGTGCTCCTGCTTTCCCTGTACTGGTGTCAGCGGGATGTGGTGTACACTCACTGATGGGCTGGAAGCAGCACGGGAACAGCGACTGACCCCTGCTGTCACCTCCCTGCCCCATGCCGGAGTGGTGCATCCCTTCCCTGCTGAGGTACAGCAACTGTCAGCCCCTGTGCTGCTTTTTTGGCAGCTGGGATAAGGCGTGCTGAATAGAAATGAAATCATGACACCATGGGTATGAAACTGGAATAGCTTTACTGACATTCAGAGGTGTAACACAACCAGTTCAGAGACGGCTTCCGATTTAAACATTCCTACAAAAAAAAGGTTCTAAAAACCATTTTAAAAAAAAACCCTTGTGTCTAGCATGAAGTCACAGAATGTTAAAACACAATAAATACACCCAGCCTTTGCTAGAGCCAGGAGCCACGTTAGCTCAGAGGTTAAAAAAGTCTTGAGGCCAGGAAGAAAGTGGAGGGTGCTGGTGGAACAGCGGGGCAGGAGGGTGAGAGCAGCTTCCGAAGGCCTGCTCGCCCTTGCTGTGCTCCCACCCTTTCTACCCCAAGCTCTTCTGCCTGGTGTGCCCAAGCAGCGACCCCAAACAGGCTCAGTGCCTGCCAGCTGGCTCTGGGCAGCCCCTCCCAGCTCCTGTGCCACGGGGAGTAGGGTGAGGGAGCCGCTTGTCAGGTAAGAACCAGCTTTGTGGAGTTTGCTAGGAGCCCCGCCTCATCTGAACCCCACTTTCTGGCCTGGCTCCTCCCTGTAAACTGCAGTCTGCCCCCCGCCGCGGTTCTCTGAGAAGGAGCAGGCTGGGGAAAAACTCAGCCTCCTGCCCCAGCACCGGGGGGAGGAGATCCCTGTGGGGCTGCAGGTGCTTCGGCTATTGGTCCAGGTTTGCATACCCTGCACTGGCCATGACCAGGGTGTGGTAAAAAGAAAAAAGAAAAAAATGAAATCTGTCCTGCTCCCCCTGAGGGAGGGCCAAGAAAGGCTGGGAGAAGGTAAAAGCCTTCCCTTTGGCTCTGGGTAGAACACGCTGGATGATCAGATACACACACACACCTCCAGATATATGGGCATGGAGGAGCTGCACCTTTGAAAGCCTACTCTCAAGGAGATCCTAGAGCACCGCGAGGCTTCCTGGCTCCCAGCCCTCAGCCCAAGGCTCTCAGCATCCCAGCTGGAAACGGGGTGATCAGAATACCTGTCCCGCTAGGGACACGTGTGGTAGGCGTGACGGGAGCGCCTGGTGCCTTCCCCGCAAAGCCTGGCCACAAGCACCCAGAGCGAGGTGAGGGCAGCCCCCTTGGCAGGCGGCACTGCTCCTAAACCCCAAAAGATGAAGAAGTGGAGTGAGAGTGAGCCGAGGCTGCAGGATGACCGGGCTTCGCCCAGCAGAGTCTACACCTCGTGGAGATGCGAGGGCTGAAGGTGCTCATCCAGTGGAGGGGAAGGGAAGGAACAAGAGAAAGCCTAACAGACTGGGTCAGACGCCACCGCAGGCCCCATCCCAGCGTTGGGAGGAGAACGGGACGGGGCCTGCGAGGGCTTTATTCAGACGGATGCTGATGGAGGCGATGACAAGGAGAATCTAATGTGCTTACTAGGAGAAGAGACAGAAGGGAGAGGAGACAGCTGCAGCATCCCGGGCTCAGGGCTCAAAGAGTGTGTTAAGACCTTCTCCGTCCTCGTTTTCTAGCACGTCTGTCTCCAGCGATGGCTTCACCTTCTTGAAGAGAGACGGCAGGTTCCGGATATGCACGTCCTTGCGGAACTGCTCCCCAAGGGGCTTCTGCAGAGGACAGAGAGGATCAGTCCAGTCCTTATCGCCCTGCTCAGCTCAGGGGCAGGCCCCAGGCTCAGAGCAATCCCACTCCTGCATTTTGGGGAATCTCAGGCCTGGTGTTTAACTCAGCACATCAGCCTCCACTGCCCCCATCCCCACAAAAAGCCAGCACCCCCTTCACAGCTGTGTTCAACAACCCCATGGGCACAGGACAGAAGGAAACGGGCTCGTTTCCCCCGGGGCATCACCTACCCCAATGCAACCCGTAATGAGGCGCTTGAAATGATCCTTCCGGCGCTTGTCTGCCACCTTCTGCAGCGCTGGGTTCAGCAGCTTGGAATCGAACTGCTCCAAGGAGTCCTTCTGGATGTCAGGGATCTGCTCCATCACGGCCTTCAGCTCGGCGTAGCGAGGGCGCTGTGGGAGAGAATTGGGGGTGATGCAGCTGCCATCCCTGGGGGCTGTTAGCTCTTCCACCCCAAACCAAGCGGGTTTGGGAGTTGTCTTCCCCCCCTCTTCCCTGTCAACCCCGCGTCCCAACAACGAGCAGCTTCTCACCAGGGCCTCGTAGATCTGGAAGGCCAGGTGGACGAGCGCGGCCATGCAGCCGTCGTGCTGCCCGTGTGTCTGCAGGCCCTTCAGCACGCCGGTGAAGAACCAGGACACGGCATCGGGCAGCAGGTTCCCTGAAAGCACCTGGGGGAGAGGCACCGTCAGCACGCAAGGACCCCGGGGGCCGATTGCCTTTCTGCAGCAGCGCAGCTGCCCCAAAGGAGAGGGTTCCCGGGGTGAAGCAGCCGTGCTTCTCGCTGCTTCCTCCCCTCCTCCCGCCAGAAGCGCTCCCCTCTGCCTCCCGCGTGTACCTGCTTGAGCAGCGGCCAGCAGAGCTGGGTCGTGGTTCTTTGGCAGGACAAGGTGTCTTTCCAGGAGAGGGACGTATAGGCAGTGACCAGCAGAGCAGTGCAGACATCCTGAAAAGGAGTCGGAGAAGGAAACCGCTCAGGGGCCGTTTCCCAGCTCTTGTGATTCAAGCCAGAAGGGACACGTGGGCTCCTGGGACAGCTCCGGGAGATTTTACAGAGAAAGGGTGGTGGCGGTCAGGGCAGGGGCTCTTACCTCCTGCTGCGTCAGGCACTTCCCAAGCTCAGTGAGCTCTGCGCTGGCAGGGGGAGCCACCTCTGTGGCCATGGCTTCATCGTCTGCAGAGGAGAGAAAAGCAAGGCTGTGAACACGGCCTCCCGAGGACTCAGGAAGACAGAGCAAGGACTGAGCTCTCAGGAGCACTGCACGTCCCACTCTTTTCCTCAGCCCTCCCCTTGGTGCCGTAAGGATCACACCCCACGGCACGTTCATGCCTAGGTGAGACTGGGGTTTTCTCTGGTCCCCAGGCACATGGGGCTGAAGGCTGTGCACTAAGCAGACACCACTCAGGCACAACTGCCAGCAGCAGGCCTGTCTCCTCTTTTAAGGAATGGGAAAAGTGCACGCACCAAAGGGGTGGGAAGGCAACGGCAGGCAGTTACTCACCATCTCCGTCCACAGCAACAGCAGAGTTATGCTCAGCCCCTTTCTTAGACACACAGCAAACGGCTGCAAAAACAATCGGAGGTGAGAGGAGCAGAACAGGCAAGATTTAGCTCAGAACATGCAGAGATGATCTTGCCTACTGTGATGGGGTCAGAGCTGCTTCAAGCTCCCCCAGCTCTCTCCCTAGACCTTTCTCCTCACACAGCATCCGAAGAATCTGACGGCACAACATAAGAGGCCAAATGCTGCACTAACTGGAAGGCTGGAACACCTCCCACAGTGGAACCTGCTGCATGGTGGCTGCTTCATATTACTAAGAACGTGCAAAATCAGTTGAAGCCTAAAACCTACAAAGAGCAGCATTTTAAGGCAACAGGGCTGACAAAGAAAGGTGATACGAGGTTGAGGACCTGTAATCTCTACGTGGAGTTAATTTTCCCAGCCTATCTGCTCAGAGCCACACTGGCAGGAAGAAAACATTAGAGAAAGGGAACACAGAGAGAGGAGACTGCTTGTGGGAAGGAATGCTTCCCTTCTGTCTGCAACAGAACTGCTCTAGACTCAGCTTCCAAAGGAGGACCGGGCTCCTATGGGGACAGTGCCAGAAGCACGGAGCCCTAACTGCTAACAAAATGGAAAAGAAAACAAACAAACAATAAAGCTTTTTTTCTGAAGGTTTTAAATCAATCTCTTTCTAGGTTTTAGATGAGATGTTGACAGGGTTAACTGCCTCACAGGTGGCTTTGTAGGATTACATGAGTTGCTACTGGCCATGGAGGTTGGTTTTTACTGCAAGCTAGAAATCCCGTAGTCCTTCCCAGGGCAAACCTTCCCCACGCGCCGGCAGAGCTTGCTTGGTTTCACTTACTGATGAGATCCATGACTTCTCGGGTCAGCAGCCTGACCAGCTGCTCCTCAAGCATCTCCTGAGACTCTGGGTTGTCATCTGCAGCATCGTCCTCACTGAGGAGAACAGGTTTTGGTGGGAAGGGAGCCAGAGACCAACAGCACCCCCTCTGCCCAGGCAGGCACCCAGGGCAGGCACCGCGCTAGCCCTGGGCCCCACTAACCCCACCGCTCCCCCAGCACCATGGGGAGCACCGAGGTGCATTTGTGGCAAGGTTCAGCAACCTCCTCGACAGCACCACCTGGTAGCAAGTCTGAGAGCAAACCAGAGAGCTGCAAACTCGAGTCAGAGCCCCAGAAGCACCAGCGTTTTCCATCTCTCTACCAGCAAGGCTGTTTCGTGAGCAAAGGGCCATGTAAAAGACCAGAGCTGCACCCCACTCCCCCTTCCCCAGTACTCATCCAGGGGTGCTTACCAGAGCATGCTTCGCTGGTTGATCACTTGCCATTTCTGAGACAACCTCTGTTTAAGACCAAGACAAAAGAGAAGATTCAAAACCATCCTGGACACACTGCAAAGAGGCACAGGTGCCACTCTCACTCACAAGCAGCAACAGCTGCCTAAGGAAGCAAAATCAGAGCCTTAAACACAGCTTTCAGTTGGAATGGGACAGGAACTGCTGCCAAATGCGCCAAAAAAACAGAAAGACACCGCTGTGGCTGCACTGGCTCGAGGAATCCAAGGGAGCTGTCAGAACTAACATGGGGGGACAGGCAAAAGTCCCTCTCAAACACTCTCAGTGCTGAAGGTTGAGGATCTGACAACCACGGGTTTGAATTCACAGCAAGGAGTACTGTGGGACAATCAGGGTTCAATGAACATCAAAACCCTCTCCCCCTGCCCCAACAGCATAAAAATTGTTTAGTATCAAGGCTCTGCCCTCGTCCCTGCTGTGGAGAGACAGAGAAGCTCTCACAAACTGCTGCCAGCTGCGAGAAGGAGCCTGGGCTGCAAAGGACCAGAACAAGCTGTTTCCTTACCATGTGCAGATAGGTGAAGAGTGGTCCCAGCATGGGGCAGACAAGGGTTTCGTAATATTCTGGAGGGCAGGAGAGTACCAAGGGCTTCACAAACACACCTGCACAGCGCACTTAAGGAAGAGACACAGCACTTAAAACGACGCTGGGAAGCCACCAGGCTTTCAGCTGACATGCTTGAAGCCCCCCCGAGCTGGCCCAAGACAGCGAGGGAAGGATACGGAGCATGGGACGCAGCCTGTAATCAGGAATGTTGTTGAGATTGATGAAAGCTGAGCTGAGGAGCTGGGCGGCAAGACCCTCGACGGTGTAGAAATCCTGCTGCATGGAAGGGCCTGCATTCCCCAGGATGTGGAAACTGCAGGGAAAAATAAAAATTAGAACTGTGCCAGATAACAGGTACCGTGCATCTGACCTGGAAAGGCTGCAAGAACTATTAACCTGAGATTACAGAGTTGCCATGCACTTAAAGAAATATTATAGAGGAATTTTAGCATAGCATCTGTCTTCTTTTGGGATAACTGCAGAGAGAGGGTCCATAAATCAAGCATTTAAGCAGTAAAATGCACTTCCAAGTGCTGATGTATCAGTAGCAATTAAAAAGGGCAAAGAGACAAACTAGGCCCAGTGCTCCAGTCCAACTACCCTGTTGTGGAAGAGCTAAAAAGCAGATCCCCATTTTACAAAAAGCCCAAGCCTGGAAGTCATCCCCAGCCCCAGCCCACTGCTCCAGCCCCGCCATGCAGGGCTGTGGGGGGATATCTGGTGCCCTTACCAGTTGTCGTAGAGGGTACAAAAGAAACCCTGCATCCTTTCTAAGACTGTTTTGTAAACAGGAGAATCATAAAGCTCCAGCAGAGGCTGAGGGAGACCTGTGGGGAAGAAGAAACTTCAGTTACATTAAGGAGAGCTCAGCACACCCCTCCGAGCACGTTCCCAGCCAGGCCTGGAAGCACTCAGCAAGGCACCACACAGCCTGTAGGAAGAGCTGAGCCTCTCTGCAGAGGTCAGTGAAGCTCAGAGTAGTGGTACCAAGGCAGAGGTTTCATGCTAGGGCTGGTAGAGCCCCCTCATTCCTCCAGAGCAGAACTTATGGAGCTATCAAACCCACCCAGAAGCAAAGCTGACCATCCTGCAGCTCAGCTAACAGCCCGTCCCTCCTGGCCTGTATTCATCTCTGTCAGCACATGTATTACTTACTGCCGGACCGCAACATTAATAAGCTTAGAGAAGAAATCAAGGCCCTGGGGCTCCATGTGCACAGGGCACAGACAGAGTTTATAGGTCACAGAAAACAGATAAAGGAAGCATTTCCTCGATTTACAGACAGAAAACGGAGATAAGAAAGACAAAGCAACTTCCCCAAAGTCTTTTGCTCAGGCAAAACCTGCAGTTTTTAATTTTTAATTTAATGCAGAAAAAACAGGAGTTATTTGTCTGAGACAAATAACTTCTTTAGCTTCATTTCAGCAGGTTCAAAGCAGAACTGAGCTGCAAATACTGTGAGGAAGCTGGCTCTCCAGCCCCTCTTTGCTCCCATGGCTAGTGGCGTTGGACCACTGCCTCATACAGCTTTGAAGACCCTGCCCACACGTTCCTCAAGAGCAGCTCCTTACCTAGGATGGCATTCTTCTCCACCTCCAGCATGTCTAGAGCCTTTGCAAATGTTTCCCCCAGCTTAGCCACCATCTCTGGCATGTAGAGATTGTTGTGAGTCCTGAAACAGAAGAGTGCTTGGTTTATATTCATGTGGCTCGCCCCCTCTTGCCCTGGACAGTGGGATCCTCTCCTTCAGCTTGTCAACAGCTCCTCTGAGGCAGACGATGAGGAAGGTGAGACCAAGCACGTGTGCATGGGATCCCCCTTCCCCACCTGCAAAAATATTGGGGGAAGCTCACCCGACAGAGACATGGAGTGATTCCACCTCATGTCCTGAATCTCCTGGCTGCCCCCTTCTACTTCTTTCAGTCCGCCCCACCCCTCGCAAGCACTGGCAGTGAGAACTCCCAGCAGTTCCCCCAGCTGATGCTGGCAACAGCTTGGGATCAGAGAGCGTCTTTTTAAAAAAAACGACAAGACACGGATTCTGTCATCTCGGAGGATCTTCGGCACCTGAGGCCCCTGCGGAGGGAGGGGCTGCTTCAGCTCCAAAAATACACACACTGCCCCCCAGGGCTGGGTCACAGTCCCCAGAATGGCAGGCGGCATGGGAGGGACTGCGGGGAGAACGTCAGCCTGCTGCAGGTGTTGCTGGTGGCGGACACCCGCGCCCCCTGGACAAGGCGTCCAGCTGGGAACAGCTCCGCGGCAGCGGGAGGCCACGGGCAGCTCTCCGAGAGGGACACCAAGTCGGCCACGGGTGGCTGGCTCTTGCCATCCAGGCCAAAATGGGCCCCCTCCTCTTAGCCGGGGCCCTGAGGCTCAGAGCTGGACTCGGCAGGGGGTGTCTCTCTCACCTACCTCTCTCCTTTGAGACCTCAGACCTCCACTCTGGGTGTCGCCAGCTGCACACAGCACAAATCCTGCAGCCTCCTCCAAAACTGCAATGCCATTGTACCTGCTGCTAGAGGTGATCAAGGGCAACTCAGTATCTCTCCCTAGAGCAGCGTTTCCCAAAGCAGGGGGGTACACGGGAATGGCTGGGGGAAGGGAGCGCAGACAGACCTCAGGACGTTCTCCAGAGTCTCAGCTTTCACTCATGTCTTAATGATTTATTTTTGGATTTATTTTAATTTTTTTGGAAGGTGGCTGTTCACAATCCTGGCAACCCCGATGCAGCGATAGCTGCCTGCGTTAGCTTTGAAGCAGCAACTCTCCCATTTCTCTCTGCACGTGTTCAATACTTCCCCGCTCACTGCAGGTGAGGAAGGCAAGTATTTAAGTCTCAGAAGAGCTGCACAAATCACTCCTTTGCCACTCACGCTCTCACTCTGGGCTGGGTCTCAAAACATGCAGCACTCCGCAAAGGGGACAGAAGCTGGTTTTACTTTCTCAGGAGAGGCCATGGCTTAGCCTCGCTTCCAAAAGTTTGGCTAATGCTGTTCCAGCAACTCAGAACTGTGCGTTTCTGCTTGAGGCTACCCTGAAACCCCACTTAAAATCACCTCTCGTACGTCTCCCGCCTGCTCCAAGCCAACATTGGCTTTGCCCCATGCAGAAGGGCAGTGAGGCAAACCCAAAGGTATTGTGGGGTGAACCCTGAAACCTCACTGCTCTAAGCCCAGCAGGATGGGTCAGTCACATCCTGAAGCTGTGGTCCTGGTCCTTAGCTGTTTCAGAGTCCCCAGGGCATTTTCTCAAGTTTGCCAGCTGGGAGGGCAAATATTCACTCACAGGCCAATCTCCCTCACTATTTCAGCCACGTCTCAGTGGTAAGAGAGAGACAACGTCTCAGTTACTACCCCTGGGAGTTAAAAAAGCATCCAGCAGCCCTTGTACATGACGAAGGTCTAGTCCCTAGGCATGGTCCAGCTGAGACTCTCATCACTGAGCAGCATTCCTGGGCATCCCACAAACAAGAAAGCATGGAAAAAAAATTGAGAGATGTTTATACTTTAAGCAAAGGATATAATACTCGAGGAAGTATATTTTCAGAAAAGGGTCACAGCTCTGCTGGAAAGAGCGTCTGATGCCTACAGGTATGGGCTTGGAGGCCAGGAGATGAGTCCTTTAGGACAGTCCATGCCTGAAGCGTCTTGACCCAGACCTGGAGCTGCCTACACTGGAAATGCTACAGCATCCATGCCTACCCGGCAGCTCTTTGACCACCATTAATGCCTTGACAAGGTCAGCATCTCATCAAGAGCAGTTCCAGAAAAGCCTTTCTCTGTGCAAAGTATTTTGCTGCGCCTGATCAGGCCGTTTGTATATATATACATATATAAAAAAAAGCCACAAGCAAATCCGAACACAATAAAGGTGCTGTGCCAATCAGCCCATGCAGCTAGCTGTTGGCTCCAGAAGTGCCCTCACCTAGAGGTAACATTGGTGGCTGGAGATTGCTGTTTGGGGTTTAAACCCAGGAGAGAATCATTTTAGCCAGAAGCTAGAAAGCAGCTGGGTGAAAGGAGGTACTGCAGAGAGCAGGAGAGTCATCGTTCAAAAAGCTGCAAGCAGTGATTAGCAAAGCGACCTCAAAATCATTCATTAAATAGAGCTCCTGAAACAAACACGGCCAGGCACAAAGAGATAGGCTGGCAGGGAACACACCGTGCTGCCTCTGCCACTCAGAACTCCCTGATTTTCCTTATCATTTGGGCTCCCTCTCATTCAGCTTGGCTCTCTGGTCACTTCCATAAGCTCCTTATCTCGGCAAGGACCCATCAGCTTCACATCTCTCACCGTTTCCAGCCAAAACCGCAGCAGCAAAATGCCACGCAGGACCCAGAGAGCAGCACGCCCAGCTGCTCGGCTGGCCGAGTGCCCTTTTCTGCACACTGCTGCCTGATGTGGATTCAGTTCAGCTGCTCAGGGGGATCCGTGCAGCTGCTGCTTGCAGATTTGCTCACGCAGCAACCAGCACCACCTGCGAAGGACGTCCACATCTGCTTCGAGCAGAAGCACAAAGCAACGCTGGGCCTGGCTTGCCCCTGCAGGGCTGCCTGCTGGCACACAGCTAAGAGAAGCATCCATCCCCAGCACAGCCAGGTTGCTGAAGGTGTCCTCACACGAGCGGCTTTTTCCTCCTCTTATCTCTGCTTCTCTGCGGACACGCCTGCTACAGGTTCCCTATTCTCTTGTGCAAGCCGTATTAGAGGGCCCGAGGAAGCAACACATGGAAAAGGTGCTCAAAGCCAGCAAAGAATGCACCAGAAATGCCAAAACACCACCACCAGCTTCTCCACAAAGATGTAAGCATCAGCAGCATTTACACTTTAAAGAGGCCTCTGTGTCCAGCAGCTGCCAGGAAAGGAATTGAGTGGAGGATCTCTTCTCTCCATGCCTCAGATGTAGGTTCTTGTTGGAGCACCCAGCCTTCAGAAATGCCCAGATACCTCAGAGTGAAGTACAAGCCACTTGATGTACACTACCAAGTGCTCAGAAAAATCCTACAAAGCCTTTAGTTTGCAGTGGAAAAGCCTGAACACCACTGATGCGTTACGACAGAAAACAGCAAGGGAGCCTCCTCCTTTATGTTGATGGGGAAGTGCTAGACTAGAACACTGCTTATGCATTTTCCTGGAAGAGAAAAACAGCAGACACAGAGTTTCTGCTTCTTTACAGATACTGCAGTAGAATTTTGACCGAAAAGAGTGGCTGACAATAGTTTCCTAAGCTTGTTGCAAGAGGGATGCCTGATGTTTTTACGAATTCATGAGTTCTGGCAGGAACACAACTCTACTCTACCCAACCTGCCCCAAAAGTTCACCCCTCGGATATTTCCTTCATGATGAAAGGCAAAACCACCTCGAGCACAGCTCACCTGCACCACAGCCATAACCACAGGCCGAAGAACCACCCGACGGGCCACACGGAGCTCTGAGAGGAGAAGCAGTGCTAGAGCGGGCCAAGACAGTGCATGCCTGTCCTGCCAGCCCAGCACGGAGCTTCTCACTGGAAGCAGCACAACCTGGAGCTCAGCAGTGACTACCAAACACACCTGACTGCACAGCACGAGTAAAAGGGCAAAACCCCACTGTCACCCTGAAATAAACTCCTCATCTGTAAGCATAGGAACGGTGTTATGCAGGATTCCCCTTTTCTACAGTATTTTTCTCCCTCCTCTGGCTGCCCTAGATGTCTACACCGCCAGGGATGTGCAGAGAGGCACAGCAGGGTAGCAAGAGCCTGAGAGTGTGCATCCGCTGGCTCCGGCAGCAGGCAGTGCTTCAGGCAGCTGACAGTCACGTTCAGCAAAACCAGCTTAATTTAAGACTGAAGAGAACAAGGCAAACAGGAGGCGATGAGAGCTGGGACTGCCCCGGTGGTGACTGGAGAGGTGGCCTGGTGGGGGCTGAGGGCAGAGCAGAGATGTTAGTGGAGAAACGATTAACGGTGTGGCAGATTTATAGCAGTGGAGGTGGGGGAAGCAATCCCAGCCCAAGCTCCCATTGGCTTTGATGGACACTCGCAGGCCAGGCCAAGGGGTGTTCAGAAGGCTCCAGTTTCCCCAGTGCCATTCCCCACTGTGAACAGTCAGGAACAGCACTTGGGCACCTGCACCAGCCTGCGTTCCCACTGGCTTCGCTGGGGGAACATGCTCCGATCATACCAGGAAGCTGAATTTATCACGGTTTAGCTTTCAGAGACTCTTAAGGCAACAGAAATGATTTCGAGGCAACTCGACCCACCTTATGAGAGCGAGCAAGTTGTCAAAAAGCTTCAGGACCTGCTCAGTGCAGGGGTTGCGGAAGATCGGAGTTCCACTGGGCATGAACCCAACCAGGAATCCTCCAGCTTTTGCCTCTTCCATTGCGGCAGGCCAGCGAGCTCGCTTCACAACTCCCAGGATGGTGTACACACAAAAGCTGATCTGCAGCAAGAGAGGGGAACAGGGTGTTTTCAGCCAAAGCACAGCCTGAATAAATAGGTATCCAGAGGAACCCGTCATCATCCCATCTCAAAAGGAAGACTCCAGTGAGCCTAACTAGGAGCAAACTCTGGTGGGTTTGTTACCAAGAAAACGCAGCAAAAAATCATGCTCCTTTCCATCATCTTCAGGGACCCTCATCCATGGCACGGCTCATTATTAGACAAAACATGAATGGATACAGTCCAATTCGTATTCAGGTAACCAGGCAGGTTCCCCTCTAAAATGCTCAGCACCACCAGTCCTTCAACTCCTTCACGCACCGGGACAGATGTGGACATGGGCAATAGCACAGCTGTCAAACAGCATTAGCATCAAATCACAAGCACAGCTCCGTGGAGCATTTCAGCATCTTCTGCAGCCCTAGTGACAGCAGCTCCATTTGCAGCCTGTCCAGAAGTGAAGATATGTCACTAGCAACCTTAACAGTGTGAATGTCCTCGGGTGAATTTTAGTTGTACTGCATGCTGCAGTCTCAGCACGACACTTTCCATGTTGCCTGGCTCAAAAAGCACAACTCAGCACGCTGTATTTCCAGAAGTTGTGTAAACAATGGCTTCTCCAAAATCAAACTTTGCCACACAGAGTAGGGAATAGAGTGCTTTACTGTGCTGAATAATCTATATTGCATGGCCTGCATGCTCACTGGAGAGGCAAAAACTGCCTGTTACTCTGCCATCAGAAAAACCTACTCATCCACACACTAAAAAAAGAGATCATCGAGAGAGATCTCATGTGTAACCACAACAGAAATGCAGGATGCAAGGAGGTGAGGCCCCTCTCTAGGGATTGTGCCTCTCCTGGTAATGATACTCACTCTAGAGCGGTTCAGGCCACTGGGATCTTCCAAGACTGGATCAGCAATTTTGTTATCTGCACCCACGTAGGAGATAAAGGCTTCAGGATCTGAGAGGACTCTAGCAGCAAAAGACAGCACAGGGGATTATTATTTGTACCAGGGTACTTTGAGCAGAGCTTTACACTGGCCAATAAACATCTTAAAAATACAGAACAGGCTAGAGAGGTTGGCTAGCACTCCACATTGTACTTGAGAGAATGAAAAAAAAGAAACAGCTGAGTTCTGGATGTTCTCCATGCATCTTCAGTCCTCTTGGGCCATAAGAACCCAAGATGTTTAAATCTCACATAGACAGCATTGCTGGGGAAAACTCTTGTGCATGCCCAGCTGTCCAGGGCTGCAGAAACAGCTCAGCTCCCTAGCTTTTACTGGAGCTGAGCAAAGATCTTTCATTTCTCATTTTCTGCAAATGCTTTAAGCATAGTGGGAAGAGTTAAACAACTCTTCCCTAGCAAGGTTCAACAAACAGCACTTAGACTTGAGTCGGCAATTTCTGGATGGCAGAGCTATGATGACAATGACTACCCAGAGCCCAGGTGTCACCAGGCACCACCCCACCCCCTTTTTTGGTACACTCCCTGCTGGGCTTCCCACCACCTCTGCAACACGGCCAGCTCAAAGCTGGGCACAGCGCCCGTACCTCTGCATCTCTGCGGAGAGCCACAAGCCAGCAACGGGGGCCATGAGCTCCTCCAGGAAAGCCTTCTGCCGCTCGTAGTCCTTGAATTGGTTGCTGATGAGGACGAGGGCCTCCATCAGTGCACACTTCTCCATCTGGGTCAGGAGTAGCTCGTTGGAGAGCAGCTGCTTTACATGGTTGTACAACATCTCAAAGTTTGGCTGGAAAACACATCGAAGTGGAAGAGCGTCACCATTTGGTGTGGAGGAGAACCACTGGGGAGGACAGGGGTGGGAACTGGGGTGTACTGCACTATCCAAAACAGCTGGAGAAGCATGTTCTGTTTTTTTCCACATATCCATCTCCTTTTCAGTCTCAAGTTCCTCTGAAAGTTCAGTCTAAAAAAAAGCCTCTTTTCTTCCCTGCTCCTCTGTCATCATTCAGCATCCAGTTTACTTTAGTCTCCAAAACGACTGAAGCATGCAGAGGACATCTCTGTCTTCTAAGCAATCGTTTCCCTTGCAGTAGGGTCACACCTCAAAATAGTTCTGGTCCTTTTACTTAGCCATAGGAAGTACCTTGCTCTTCTGGCTACGTGACTCTTCCAATCTTTGCTCACAAACTAGGTTAACAATGATTCATATGGTCAACGCTATCTCCATGGAAATGGTTGAGTTTCTTCCCTACCTACTCCAGTGTAACCACGTCTTCCTGTAATTTTGTGTAAGTATCAGATATCACTTGCTGCAGCAAAGTCATCAAGATATTTTGGGAGCAGCTCTAGGCCCTTGGCTCTTCCAGGGAGAGTATTTGGTTGGCCATTGTGAGATGTAGTTCAGGGACCAGTACAGAGGGAAAGAGACAAACCCGGTAACTCATGGTAGCTGTTGCAGAATGCAGACTAGAACCCCTAAACTACCTTAATCAGCATCCTCGAGAACCCTGCTTAAACAAACTAGCAATTCCCTCTTGTGCTTCTTTAACTCTAGAGCCACCTAAGATAAACACCAATAAAGAAAGGAGCTCAAGAGGTATTCATGCTGTGTGCAGCCCACTTAATTCAGCAAAATCAAACAGAACATCAGCTTGAGGATTTCAAAAGTAAAGAATGTCTGTATTTTCCAGTCTCCTCAAGCTAATCCAGAAACAAATAGTCTCCTCTTGCTCCTTCATTCTTTTAAGTAACAGAAGAGAGCCTAGAGATTAGTCACTTGATAACGTCTTCAGCTAAGGAATCAACTGAGACTACCACAAGTTGCAAAACAGAAAATCAGCAAACATTCCCACAAAATGAATCTAGCACTGCTTGTTTCCTCCTCATCATCCCTTTTGAATTTAATTCTTAACTTTACAATTCAGCTTTTCAGTCATAAAAAAATTTGGGGGGTGGCAAGGGGTGGTGGGGCAGGATGAAGGAAATAAAAACCACTTCATCATTTGAGCAGCAGGAACATTTCCTTGAAGAAAAACAGAGGCTGTAGCCAAGGAAACTGAAGATCCCATAAAATCCAGCTGAAATTGAGACAAGACTCTTGGTGACAGAGCTGCATTTACGTACCAGGACAAGCTGAGGGTAATCCCGACACATCTTTATGATTGAGGAGCATGCATGCCTTCGCACATTTTTCACTGCTCGAGTTCTAGGAGCCTGGACAGACATAACAAACTTCAATGCAACAAAACGAAAGTTCAGACAAATGCAGGGTATCAAGAGACAAATGCATTACATACACTTTTCTGCACCGTTGAGTACACATCAAAACACCCCCCAACATTACACGCCCCGACCAGCCATGCAACAACCAATTTCCTCTGGAAAGCAACCCAAGGAACCTACACTTGGACAAGCTGTGCTCCCGGAGCGATGCTGTGGATCTTAATGACTACATCAAGACTCCAAGTGTAGCTGGCAGCTTTACAGCCGTTGCTCACAGCCACGGATACCAACCCCTGAAGACTACCCACAGCTAATGAATATATTTCACTCTCAGGAGGGCCAGCATAGGCTTGGGACCAAGTGCACTGGCCTCAGACAACGCCTGTGGCCTTCGATGTGTGTGAGCCAAAGCCTATTAGGCTCTGTCCATCAGGAAATCAGTTATGTTTAGACTCCTCAGCTCTTTCCAGGAGCAGGGCTATACTTGAAAAGCTTACTACAGCAGAGTCTTCAGACTCAGCATGCTCTTAAATAAATAAAACATAATTTGATCCAACTGTTACAGAGTATTAGAGAATAATTCAGACGTACCTTGCTTTCTTCTACAACTTCAAAGGTAACTGAAGCAAACAGCTGTGAGAAAAGGGAGGAAAAATCCAAAAGCCCATGTCATTTGTTAATATCCAGCAGTCACAGGTGTTTTGAGCTCAAGGAACAGATCATAAGACTTTGGTGCAATTTCATTAATGTCAGTAACACCTGACTAAGTTGAAAGATGAATCATAGGCACAGAGAGGCCTTGAAATGAAACATGGTGCTCATTGGCCAGAGTGATACACTCAGTGTTAAGATTTAAGGCTGAAAACTGCAAAATTTGTGCTATTTGACACTGTTTCTCTTGAACAAGACTCCAAGTGTTTTACCATCATTAACACGGAGGACAGTCTTTCCCTGATGGGAATGTTGAGAGAATGAACTACTGCAGCTTCGTACAAGGGCCCTGCTCCACAAAAAGCCTACCTGATTTTCGCATGGCCTGCAAGCACCTACCTTGGAAAGTACTTGTGGTAGGTATTCTGGTCGGTAAGTGACAAACGGGAAGAGAGCAGAGACATTGGTGAGCACACAGGACAGGATGAGAGGATCCTTGGTTTCAAAATTAAGGACAAGCTGCAGGAGATCTATGCCATCATTCACCGGGATTTCCTACAGGAACAGGGAAGGGAAAGGAGGAGGAAAGAAAAAAAGGAGGCAACGCTCAGTACTTCAACCTGCAGCACACAGCCTACAACTCTTAGAGCTAGACTGACTTGCTGCTGCTAAGATATAAGGCTTCTCAGCTGAAGACTGCTTATCTCAAAGCAGGAAGAAAAGCAGTAGAGACCTCAGCTTACCTGTGGGCTGTGTGCACTTGCTGAGGGAGGAGGACAGCAGCATTGCCATTGCTGCCAGGGCAGTCTTACATGTCAATCTGAAATCCCCACTATTGCTTGTGCCTCTGAGAAAGGCAAGTTTCCTCTCTCTGTTTGGATCCCAATTTTCCTTTTCACTGTCCAACAGACTGCATGCTTAACCAACTACATCAACCCATGTCACTATTTCACTGTGATTAGAATTAGTGTGAGCAGCCTAACGGGACAAAAATCAAGCCAGTCTACATCAGGCTGAGATGAAAAAGTGCTCTCCTGATTTGCCTACTGTTGAACAAACAGCAGAGAAAAATTTTATCAGATCTTCTGATCTCCTACACCCTGAGCATGGGTCTTTCTCACTCAGATAAAAGCACAGAAAATGAGAAGAAAAAACATGTCAAATCATGAGGATGAGTAAAAAAAATAAACTGTAGGAAATTTCTGCTTAAGCAGGCCTCTAGCAAGGCACTGTCAAACCACGTCATCTGAGCACTCTCCTGTGACCTCTCCTACCATCCAGAACCAAAAAATGTCTGACAGAATAAGCCAATATGAGACTGGTTCCACCTAAAGAAGGGTCAGTACTCATGAGAAACACTCACCAAACAATTATTTTTTTTTTTCTTTGCACTGGGGATGAATGGTAACTACAAGTTTTCAAGGACAACACAGCTGGAAAAAACACACAGATCAACCCAAAAGAAGCCAGGAGAACAGGTAAGAGCATCTGGTACACATACGTCTTTGTCCAGGGTTCGAAACATCTGGCTGATGACACTCTCTGAGAAGAAGGTCATGGCATCCCACTGCACAAAGGATGGGGAGAAGATGGAGCAGAGACCTTCACCCGTCTTAGCTGAAAGGAAGAGAACATTGGAGCTCTCACCGTGCTCCTCCCCTCACACACAGCACCAGGCTGATAAGCTCCCACACCGCAACATCTCAGCACTCCCAAGTACTTTTGTCACAAACAACTCACAGAAGGGAAAAGGAAGGGCTGTATGCCCAGACTCAGCACTGCAGGCAAGACTGCCCTCAGCGTGACTTCGTAGAGCACCAAGTCCATCTTGACTTCAATTCCAAACCAAATCTTTTTTTTTTTTTTTTTTTCAGATAACTTACAGTTCATGGGTCCGGTATCAACAGGAGCTGTGAGCTGGTACTTCAGCCATTCACCAGCCATTTGGAAGCCAGTTCGAGGGTCCAGACGACAAGCCATCCTCATCACCTCCCCTTGCTGGGCTCGGAAAGCTGCAGTAAAAACAATCAGACGCCATGCAATGAGCTGATGCTACAAATGCTGCTACCTCAGCAAAGCTCACCTGCATCTTTGCAGACCTGGGAACGTTTTGGACTGTTGTTCCAGCAATAGCTGTGTATTAATCTCAGTGAGTAAACTAGCTATAACAGGATGCACATTTTTTTTTTGGAAGAGATACAAATGGACTAAAAAATGATGGGTTAAATAAAAACAATTAAAATGCAATATGAATTATTAAAATTACTCTAAACTGAGATTTAATAAAATTGAGCTTCTGTTTTCATATAAAAAAATCTTTAAACTATACATGTTTGCTGTTACAAAGCACCTTGAGATACGGAGATACAAAACCCAGCTGTAGGTTAACTATCACTTCCCACAGCTGAACACTTTTTACAGTTTATTCAGCTTTACCCAGTTAAGTGACAGGCTGAGAAGCTAATGCTAAAAAAAAAAGAACCAAAAAACCACTACACCAAACCAGCAAGCCTTGTTTTCATTTCCAGAAATATGAACAAAAGCAAAGTCTAAACAAGAATTTAATCTGTTCCAAAATATTCCAGGACATGACCACAGAAAAGAAACAGCTCTACTGATTACAGATGCAACATCTGTTGCTTAAAAGAAATATTCAAAACCTTCAAAAGTAAAAGTAAAAAGCAAGTAGTTATAAAGAATACCCTCTCAGCCACCGAGTACCAAACTACACCAGCCAGTGAGAGCCAACCTCATTTGTAGAAAGTAAAATACAGAAAGAAAGCAAATATAAAATTATTAAAATCCAGGTTTCCCTGCTTGCTGATATAAGATCATGATTAAGATCAGCTGTTTTAATTGCTCAATCACACAGTTGGTACCGAACCAAAAGTTCTTAGCAGGGCCAACACAGACTCTCTGGAATGATATATGAAGTCTTCCATAAGCTGTTTTCCTCTCCTAGCCTGAGCAGGATTCCAGGCCATTTCATTTCCTCATCTAGGTGATCAAGAGGGCTATTTTCTTTGACACTATGTAGCAACTGCTACTTGACCACTCACCTGGCCAGCATGCAAAATAATTGTTAAGTATGATAGCAAAAAAGTAAAATGAACTGCCTGAATTGTCACAGGAAAACCACAAACTCATTCAGCTCCAGGATTCAGGCTGAAAGAGTCAGGACTGTGACTGGAAGCTGCCAAATCAACACAGGCAGTCTCCAAGCTCAGCCAGCAGCTGAACGTAAGAGGAAAGGCACACACAACAGCATCCACGTGGGGTGAGGGCAACTTACAGTTGAAGAAGGCATTGAAGTCCTCATCGCTGTCAAAATCGAATCGGGAGTATTCACAACTGGGGCTGTCTGCTTTAGAGGGAAAGCCCACCTAGAGGCAGAGTGGACAACATCAGGAAGGAAGAGAAGTCGCCCTGTCAGAGCTAACATCAAGGAGGTGAGACTGAAGGAGCAGACAGTAAAATGCAGTATCATTTCCACATACCTTCACGAGGTTGGTCATAGATGCACGAAGGTACTTGGGGATCATCGCCAGCAACAAGGGGTCGCGAGACAGAACCTCGTGCCGAAAAAGGGCTCCCCACGTGATCTGAGTGGAAGATCGCAGAAACTGGGGGGGAAGAGAGAGGGAAAACGGGAACAGAGAAGGATTTCAGTACTGGAATCTCCACTGCTAAGCCTCCAGCGTTGCAATTAGAAGGTAAGAGCAGATATACTGACTATTCAGCTGAGGCCAAGGCACCCTGCAGGCTCAACCTAAACTTCCAGAAAGTCAAAAAACTCTATAATAAGAACTAGGGCTGGTTGCAAATTCTGCATTAGATTCTGTACTCAACACTTTTGTGTGTCAGGTACCATTCATTCCTAATGGGGTGGCAATGAAGGAGAATCCACTCTATTCCAGGTCTTCAGCTGAACTGAGAGACTGGAAAGCCATATTCGGCAGACTGAAGTTCTGCAGTCTTCTATAGGGCTAGTTTAATTATGTATTCACACATCCTTACAGAGACCTACATAAGACTTTCAGCCCTCTACATACCTGGCTGGGGTGGGTTGTGAAGGCTAAAAATGAGTCAAGGTATTTTCCAACGTTGGCGGGTGTTTCCACATCAGAATCTGAGCCCTGCGAGGAAGACAAAGAATTTCAGACAAAATACTGAACACGTGTCATGCTGGGTTCACAAATGCCATGTTTTTGGGTAAAGCAGAACGTACATCCAAGGCCACAGGCTGTGAAGGAGCAGAGACAAAACCACAGAACACCGGTGAGTTTTTCTGAAACCAGCAGCCTAACGAGTAGCAAGTTCTACTGACCAGCCTGGGGGTGCTGGACTCAAATCCCGACCTCATTACTTCGTTATGGACTAACAACTCCCAGTGCCTAACAGCACGTGAAGTCTCTCTCACTGGAAGTAATAACTCACCCTTTGTTTGCTGCCTATTCTTGTAAGGGATAAATTCTCAAAGATTTTTTTGTTCTTTCCCTACCTGTGAGAATTTACTCTGAACTATCACTTTCCACAGGCTGGCTGCCTCAGTCTCCTCATGAAAAGTTTCTCTCAGCAAGCCTGCCTTCCTTGCTGTAGGAGCACTGTGCTGAATGAAGGGAGTGGGAATTCAGCAGTCAGCACCGCATCCAAAGCATCAGTGTACACTTTCATCTCAATGTTGACACAAACAGTATTAAAAAGATCAACAGCAGGAACAGAAAACAGTTTCTTGTCTCTCGAGAGAACGTTGGCAGAAGAACAAACAGGTATACTCTTTGAGAACATCTCTGATGCTATATATGTATGTTATGAAGATCTATCTTCTAGATATTTTTAGTGGTGAAATTTAAAAAGCTTCCCACATGAGTAATTGCCTCAAGCAGTTTTCCTGTAGTAATAGGCAGCAAGAAACTGAAACAATTTTCAGTAGCTTACAGAGGTTATTGGAGATGACTCTCGATGACAGCAGAGGCCTGAAATCAGGCAGGGTCTCTTCATTCTATGTTCCTATGACTTGGCAGGATACAGTTATCCTACCTGCAAGCAGAGTCGTTTCTGCCTTTTCCAAATGTGTGGAGAACCTTATGGCTGCCAATCGTGCAGACAGAACCCTGTTCTCACATCAGATCAGGGTTATCTCACCCCCAACCCTAGAAGCTAGCCTTGCCAAGACTGCTGCTGGTATTAGTAGAGACTTACTAGCAACGCACACAGCTGGCTGCCCAACGCGCACAGAACTTGGCAAAGTCTCTTCAAGAAAACATAGTGTTTCTCCACCAGACCCTCTCCATCTGCTGTCCTGGGTGTGAAGGGAATGGAAAAACAAAAAAACAGTTACTCATGCTGTAGGTAACTATCTTGTAGACAAAGAGAACACTAGAGCAATTAGGTTCTTTCACGGTGAGATTTTCTTTGCTTCTATCAAAAACCAATACTTTACTGGCATTTAAAACCTCTAAAATAGCTTCTTTCAAGTCCCCCCTCATCAGTTTTAGTTTAAAAGAGAAAGCTGGGGAAGCTGATATTTATCCCATTTTGTCCTTTAAATATGGAATCTGAAAAAAAAAAATGCAGTTTTTCAGGTTTAGGAAAAAAAAAGGTTGTGTTTTTTTCTCTCCTAACCCAGTTCCAGCTTTCTGCAGCTGAGCAGCGCTATTTTTATTTTTATTTTTTTTGGTAAATTACTTACAGAAAGCCATTGCTATGCAGCTTTATGTGAAATGACAGCAGCAAGGTGGTACTCACTGGGCAGCGGAGAGAATGTAGTGCATGGCAACATCTCCAAACAACACCATCAGAGGTTTCCGATCCTCCAGCTTCCCCTACGTAGAAGAAAAGCCAAATGCTTCGATTAGACACTACTACTTATTCCCACCTGACAGTGAAGTTTGGAAGATCCCCATTTGTTCTTCCATCTAGGGGAAGGTTTGCATTTCACCAATGATTTCAGTAAAAACTGTTACCCTCCCACCCCACAAAGAAAAAAAAAAGGTATTCTTCCTTTCAAGAATTCTCCCTCAGCAACCTCAGTTGTTGGTTTAAACTGAAAAATTGATCCTCAGACACTAGCTCTTTTTCATTGCAGTCTGGATAGTTACTTAATGGCAGCTGATGAATTCTCAGCCTTGATGCTTAGCTGCTTGTGAACAGTGCAAATCACCTGCTCAGAACCTCGTCACTGCTCTGAGCTGTTAGATGACACAGCTAGGTGACATATTTCCCACTCCCCAGTTTTAGGAAATGAAAAAAAATGTTAACAGGGATCTCCAGAGTTGTGAGAAGAGGCAAGCACGCAAGTTGGAGCGTTCCAACAATTGTTCCACGTGGTGTGCTGGCATGACATTCACTATAAATGTCATTAACACAAAGCAGTCACATTTGAATGTTGTTGTCTTAAATAAAAGAGTAAAGATATCATTGTTTGGTCTGAAGAATTACATAGAATTGAAGGGAAACAAAGAGGACTCAGGGTGGCTGAGAAAGAACTTACTTTCCTGCTGACGGCAATCAGGAGACACTCTGCTGCTCCTATTTGGAGCTCAGGCTCGTTTAGGAGCAGACACAACATCTCCAAGAGCTTGCAGTTGTCCGCTGTGATGTGGCTCAGGGCCACCCAGTCAATGTAGCCAGCCAGCGTGTTGAGTGCTGCTATCCCCACGCGGCAGTTTGCCTGGGCCTGCGAACAGAGGAGACAAGAAGTCAGAACCGAACAGAAGCACAGGTTCCCACTTCTCTCTTCTCAATAATTGTGAACAAACCCATCTGCAGGTAACAGGCTCTAAAGTCTGGGGGAGGCTCATTTCTAGGCAACCTTGGTTTGAAAAATGGCTGGCTGCACCAATGCCTCCATAGCTCCACTCACCTTTGGTTCCTGAGCCAGATCGGTCTTCTGAAAAAGAAAAAAAGGAATGGTTAGTGAGCAGCGACAGCACGAGCTTACTCCCAGCCGCTGCTGGACAGGCTCATTCTTGAGAACGCAGCCAGAAGAAGCTCCACGGAACAGCTCCCTAGTGAAAGAGGCTGCAGCCGTCTCCTGCTCAAGCCACTGCTACAGCCATCAGTACCACCGCTGCCTGCAGAGTGAGACGGCAGGACTTTCAGCTGCAGGTTAAGCCACTGTTTCCTTCTCATCCAAAAGATGACGCTCCAGTCAGCAGGCAGCAGGGAGACAGTGGACAAGAAGGAAAGGAATTTCAGTGCTTCCTGGAAGCTTCCAGGAAAGAAGCTTTTGACCTTTTTAGAGTGTCTTACACCCAAGAGTCAGTCTCTGAAAGATGCTGGTGGCTTTAAACTACTAAGACTCACATGTGAAAATGATAAGTAATTTCTCTGTGGTTAGAATGGCAGCTGGAGAGAGTGCTGGGGCGAGAGCTTACAGCGTGACTCACAGTTGCAAACACTTCACAAGGCACCGCTTGCACCATCTTTTTCCCTGACACACAGTTTGAGGCTCTCAGAGAGGGCAAATGTTACTTGTTTTGCAGATGCAAAGACACCAGAAGCATTTTTTTCCGCTGCAAGGTTTTGGTTTGGAAACTGTCTGCTGATGTATTCAGTGCAGTTACTTTCAGTCAATCTGTTTGGGTCCCAAATGTTTAACAACTGAGCTACTACCGCACAACTACATACTTAGAAGCACTGGGGAACTGTCCATCAACAGCTCCTGGGGAACTGTCCATCATCTCCCCCAGTCTCGGTGTGCACCCAACCCTCAGCATTTACCCTGCACACAAACATCCCAAAATCTGCTAACCTGTGGAGTGGTGAGGGCTTCTTGTTCCTGGGGTGCTCCAACCTTGCCAATCAGAAAGATGCCACCGTTAGCAGAAGCAGCCACACTTCAGAACCTCAAGCACTGCAATTCAAACCTTACCTGGAAATGCATTTCAACCAGACTACAAAACGCACCAGGGCTTCCCACCCACCACCATGAACTAGGCAGAGAACTGTCTGCTCTGCAGGAGAGGTTGTTCAGTGGATCAGTTTATTAGGAAAAGGAACAGAAGTCAGGTAAGGCATGTTTTTTTCCATTTCATCCCAGTTTTGCTTTTAGTGTAACTCTGGATTTCAATTTACAGGGAAAAAAAGGACGAGAGAGACACCTGAGCAACTTATTTCTACATTGGTTTCTGAATTCCTGCTTCACTCTCTCAAATTCACTTCCTTCTGACAAGCACAGACAGGGGCAGACATTTGCCTACACTATTCCATCTTGACCAAGCTGCACACCTCTGACAGTAGGTAAGAATTCAGGAAAAAAATCTCTTTTTGCAAAAACAAAGAGCATTCCTCACCACACCTTGGCAGAGAAGGGCCTCTTGCCCTGAGCGCTAGGAGAAGAGGACCAGAGAAATGCAATGTGTATGTCAACACAAACACGACTGCAGCAAACAACAGCAGAGCTGAGCCTGGGGCGATGTCACTTGACCACTGCCTGTTACATTGCCTACCCCAATCTGGTGTCAGCCAGCTGAGCATTCCAGCAGTGCTCACGAGGCACGCGTCCACTCGAGCCATTTACACTCCAAATCCAAACTATCAGCACTAAACCTGTCAGCCCTGTCACAGCAGATCCCTGCCCCACACCTCCAGCAATGGGTTTCAGACTGTTTCTGCCCCTGCTTCCCAAGCCGTGCGAGTTGCATGCCAGTTCCTAAACGCCTCCGAGCAGCGAGTGAACCTGACGAAAGGAGCCGCTTACCATGCGCCTGTACTTGTTGACGTTCTGCTGCAGGGCAGTGAGCAGGAAGCTGAAGATCTTCTCCATGTTCTGGGTGAGGGTTTGCTGGATATCTCGGCGCCGCTGGGTGGGCAGCGTTTGGAAAGTCACCACGTCCTCTGCCAGACGGAGGAGGATGAACATCACCAGCTCTGTCTGAGTTTCCTGATGTCCCAAAATGAAACAGACTCCATGAGCACGGCTGAAATGTTAAAATCCCTACAGATAAGCTCAGAGATGCAGAAAGTAATCATACATGAAGACACGAGTCACATTTTGGGAAAATAAATCAGAAGGAGGGCTCCCTCTCTGCTAAAACCATCTCCTCGAATAACTGACTCTTGCAGGTACTTTTTGAGTGTGTCATCAACCTGTCTCACCTGACTGTGAGTTAGGCTTTCCTCAGAATCATGGAAGACTGAAACCCACCCTACCAACAAGTGGAAGAGAACAGACAGGTGTGGTTCATACCCCTTGCTTGGAGAGGGTATCCAGCTCCTTCAGCATGTCAGGCCAGTGCTGAGGCCACTCACGCTTGATCATCTCCACCACGATGCGAGACAGAACGTCCTTAATGTGACTCTCCTCCTCTAGAATACTTTGAGTTCCCTGCGAGAGGAGAGAGGCGCAGTTACACAAGCAAGGAAACACCAGACAATTGTAATTCTGTCACAGAACTGCACAGTGATTGCAAATATTCTAAAAAAAATAATAAAAAGAACACCACTAAAACCAAGAACAACAATATAGGGAAACTCCACATCTCAGCTAGCCTGAGAAGCACTTCTGCCCTCCCAAGCATCCACAGCTGGTGAACTCTAGGAACCCAAACTATTTTCCTCAAAGGGAACTCACCCAGCCATGACAACAACCACAAATGTAAAGTAAACACGACTAAGATAATGGCTTTAGTGTTCTTGCAAAGATAAAACTTTTGTATTTACTGAAGGTCCTTCTCTGAAAGCAAAAGTAACTCACAGAAGCCTCACAGCCTCCTGCCACGTGAGATGACAACACTACAACAACCAGGGATGCACAGCAAGAAAGTAATGAAATCCAGACTTGAATTCAGGTCCTCTGTGCTAATTAACTGGAGTCTTTCCACCTTTTTGCTCCCACTTTCTATCTCAAAGTGAAAGAATCACGCTTCAGAGGCTGGAAGGTACTTACGTTGGATATGAGGCCCATGACGTTGTTCTTTAGATAAACCTTTTCCAGGCGAGGCATGTTGTTCCAGCGGAACCTGTTCACAAGAGTTAGAAAGAAAGAGAAAGAAAGGACACTGAGTCAAAACATTTATGAAGATCTCTGACTCGATTCTCACTGGACCACCAGTTCTTTACCTAAACTAGGTAGAATGAGACACTGGAGCCCAATGTCCCTGCCACTGCCCAATTGCTTAACGAAAAGGCTGAGTTAAAACTGCATGCTGGCAAACGGGCGTGCACTGCTGAGGTCAACAGACACGAGAAGCAGCAGCAAAAGCACAAAGCATCAGGTCTGTAGAGGCGACAGAGAGGAATCTCAGAACTGAACTAATACAAAGCCTCTTTGTTAGCGTGTGAGTAATGACAGAGAGCACTGCAAAGGACCTACTGGTAACCCTGCGTGCTTGTTTACGTCTTGCAGTGTCAACACGGCTCAGAGCGTGGTGAATTAACCCTCCCAACCTGCCTGAAAGCCTGTTTCTCCTCAGAGGAGAAAGAAGGAGGAAAAGGAATGGCAAGCAGGCCAGCAGCATCCTCTGCTGCAGGACAGGCTCTGTGTGTGCTGAAACCTGTCCCTGGAGCCAGGAGGCACCGAAGGGGAGTGGAGCAAGGACCGGTGGCTGGCTGGAAGCAGGCTGGACCCCAGCCCTGGCGGAGCACCCTTACTTGACCACATGCTCCAGGATCTGCAAGCCAAAGTGCCGGACGATGGCCGTCTGTGTCTTCTCGGCCAGCTTCAGCCCGCAGGGCACGCAGATGGGACACTTCTCCTTGAACTCCTCGCAGAACTGCTCAGGGACAGGGACAGACATGCGGCGGGCGCTCAGCGGGGTCACTCACCTCACCATGGAGCTGAGCAGCCCCTGGTGGGGACCCCCCTGACCCCCTCAGCACCTCAGAGCCTCCCCATAGCATCTCAGAGCCCCCCCCAACCCCTCAGAGCCTCCCCCTCTGCACCTCGCAGTCTCCCCTCAGCCCCTCAGAGCCCCCTCCAGCCCCTCAGAGCCTCCCCATAGCACCTCAGAGCCTTCCATAGTCCCCCCTCAGCACCTCAGAGCCGCCCATAGCCCCTCAGAGCCCCCCAGCGCCTCCCCCCAGCCCCTCAGAGCCCCCTTCCAGCACCTCAGAGCCCCTCACAGCCCCCCTCAGATTCCCCCCTCAGCACCTCAGAGCCCCCCTCAGCACCCCTCAGCCCCTCAGAGCTCCCCTCAGCCCATCAGAGCCCCTTCATCGCCTCAGAGCCCCCCTCATCGCCTCAGCGCTCCCCCCCCGCCTCCCTAGCGGCCCGCTGCGGGGCCCCGCGTGGCCGGGGGAGGGACGGGGACAGGGCCCCGCGTACCTTGAGCGCCTCCAGGCGGTATCGCTGCGTGGAGGCCGGGTCCATGATCACGGTCACGGCCTTGACCAGCTGCTCGCACAGCCCGCTCACCTGCTCGGCCGACATGATGATGGCGGCGCCGGCCCCTCGCCACCGGCCGCCGGCGTGCGGGGGGGAGGCGCTCTGCGCATGCGCGGCGAGGAAGGTGTTCGTGAGGGAGCGCTGGCGGGACTACAAGTCCCGGCGTGCCCCGCGCGCCGCCTACAGCTCCCGATAGGCTGCGGGGCGCGGTGGCGGGAGGGCGGGCCGTGAGGCAGTCAGTCGGGCGGGTGGCGCTGGAAGAGGAAGGAGGGGTGCTGCCGGCGCTCCGTCGGCGCCGCCATCATGTCGCGGGGTCGGGAGCGGGTGGTGGCCCTTGTGGATATGGACTGCTTCTTCATGCAGGTGGAGCAGCGCTTCGACCCGCAGCTGCGCGGCCGGCCCTGCGCCGTGGTGCAGTACAACAAGTGGCAGGGCGGCGGGTAGGTGCCGCGTCGCGGTCTCTCGCCGTGTCGCCGTGTCGCGATATGGCGCCATGCCCACCCCGTTGCCTTGCAGGATCATCGCGGTGAGCTACGAGGCGCGCTCCTTCGGCGTGGCCCGCGGCATGTGGGCGAGCGAGGCGCGGGCGCTGTGCCCCGAGCTGCTGCTGGCCAGGGTGCCCGAGGCCAGGGGCAAAGCCGACCTCAGCCGGTGAGCGGGGGGCAGCGGGACGGGGCTGCGGGGACAGCCGGGGGCACCCGGGGGCACCCCGGCTGAGCCTGTGGGCCGCCAGGTACCGGGAGGCCAGCGCCGAGGTGATGGAGGTGCTGTCGCGCTTCGCCGCCATCGAGCGGGCCAGCATCGACGAGGCGTACCTGGACCTGACGGGCAGCGCTCGGGACAGGCTGCGGGAGCTGCGGGGCCGGCCGCTGGCAGCCCAGCTGCTGCCCACCACCTTCGTGCAGGGGCTGCCCGCCAGCCCGGACCCCCAGCACGCCGCCAAGGGTAGGCAGAAGCTCGCCCCGAGGGGCTCCCGGTGGCCGGGCCGGAGCTTGATGCGATGGGGATGCTCCAACAGCTTGGCTGCGAGGTTTGAGCCCGCTCCTGCTGCTCCCCTTCGTGCTCCCCATCCCCTGGCAGAGCATGAGCTGCTTCATCCCTCCTGGAGACACAGCACTGTGACCAGGATCTCTGTTTTCCCCACTGCTAAGCCGCCTGCTTCATCCCCTTGCAGCTACGGGTGCACGCAGCTCCTCCCTGTAGGGCTTGCAGCGGTACCAGCCCCTCTGCTGGGCTCAGCGATGCCCACGCCAGTCCCCTCTGTGTCCCCCTTGCAGAGGAGCTGCGGGAGCGTGGCGTGCAGGAGTGGCTGGCCTCGCTCTCCTTCGATGACCCCGACTGTCCCGACCTGCAGCTGACCATGGGAGCGGTCATTGTGGAAGAAATGAGGGTGGCCGTGGAGAAAGCCACTGGGTTCAGGTGCTCGGCTGGGATTTCACACAACAAGGTACATGTGGAGGGTGTCAGCCCGACTTCCCCGAGTAGCTGGGTCGGAGCGGGCGGTAGATGCTGTTGTGCTCCTCCCAGATGGAAGATGAGTGGGGAATGCAGCCGTGTGTGAGCATGCCTTCAGGGAAATTATAGGATGTCTGGGAAGGGGAGGAAAACTATTCAGAGATGTAGCCTGTGAAGTCAGCAATCAGTTAATTTACTAGCTGGGGTCATGGTGTGCTCTAGCCACTTTTCTTACTAGGAAGAAAATGGTGTTGAGTCCCTCAGGAGAACTACCGGGTTAAACCACGACAAACCACAAGAGTTTAAAGCAGGTCGCACCCTGAGTTTTAGGGGACGGTAGGTCCATCCAGGGAATATTTTTACTGACTTGTTTTCCAGTGACTTGGAGGAAGAAAAATAGCAGTTGGTGGCCCTGACGTGAGTCAAGTTGCTTTTCCTCTTTCTGGTCAATCGGTCTTTACCCGCTGCTAGCCACGCTTTGGGTGATGCTCAGCCAGCTGCTGCGAGCACTTCATGCACGACAGCAGCTGCAGATACAAACTGCCTTTGATGCTGTAGTTGTGGATGGTTTCCTGCTGGGCGATATGCTTTGGGTGGTTTTACTGAGAGCCCCTAATGTTTGTTTCAGCCTCTGCAGAAAAGGTTGGTGCATACAGAGGCTGTGGAAGCATCATAGCACGTTCTGCACAGTCACGTGCAGGCTTTTGACCTGGTGGTCTCTGCATTGTGCTTGATAGCATAGATAGAGTTCTTTAGGGACAGCACAGTCCAATGTAATTTCCTTATTTCCCTTGAAAAATAAAACACAGTGCTGGCATAGAAACTGGATGAGAGCTGGGAGATGCTCTTAGGAAGAGCAGGAATGTTCTCTGTTAGTGCTGTTAATGAGAGCAAAAAGGCCAGCTGAGCATCCCTTCCACTGGAAGTTCCTACACCGGTGCTCTTCCTCAGCTAGCTCTGCAGAGAGAGCTCCAAAACATCTGTTTAGTCTTTATCCTTTTTTTTATTTTATTATTATTTTGGTCAGAACCTGTATATTTAAAGTTGTAACTGATGAGCCCCTCTTTGCATAGGCTGAATCTCCTGTTAGGGGCTCTCAGTAAACCACCCAAAGCATATCGCCCAGCAGGAAACCATCCACAACTGCAGCAGCATCAAAGGCAGTTTGTTTCTGCAGCTGCTGTCGTGCATGAAGTGCTCCTGGGGCAGCTCTCAGCAGCTGGCTGAGCAGCACCCACAGCATGGCTAACGGTGGGTAAAGACTGCCCAGAAAGAGAAAAAGCAACTCGACTCACCTCAGAGCCACAAACTGGTGTTCTTTTTCCTCTTAAATTGTTGGGAACTGCAGCAAGTCGGGAGTTAGTCTGGAGTTATTGTGGACAATCAGCAGGATGAGTCAGTTACAGGGGTGCTCTTTTAGAAAAGGCAAGTCCTGCCTCAGCATGTGTTAATTAGGTGTCAGGAAAAAAGTAGATTACTTCTCCCCATGAAGTCTCAGCCACTGGTTCAGTTTGCAGCAGTTTACCACAGGAATAGTGTGGGTAGCCTTGGAAGAACCTCCAGTGAAACAAGAATAACAATAATTGGGCATCTGCAAAATGAATATGAAGAGAAAATGAAGAGAAAAAGATTGAATTCCTCTAGAAAGGAGAGAGGACATGTAAGCCTGTGAGAAAGGCTGCTAATAAAGATCATAGCTTAATCTGTGGGCAGCTTTGTTTAGTTAGAGGATGTAAAGCAGTGAAAGAGGAAAAATCATTGTTTTTTTTAATTAAAAAACAAGCTATGCTTATTTCTGGCTAGTCTCTGTATTCTTGATCTTGAGTTAGATTAGGGTGGGAGGGGAAGTTGTACAGCAGGTGGGTGAGAGGACATCCCTTCCAAGAGCTTCTGTGTTTTGCAGATTTTCTTCTGCAGCATTATGCTGCGTCCTTCCTAGCAGCTGCTGCAGCACGTGCCGTTAAGTACGGTGCTTTGCAATAATGCTGGCTTGTAATAACAGGCTTTCCACTCCTCCACGTTACAGATGCTGGCAAAACTGGCCTGTGGGTTAAACAAGCCCAACCGCCAGACACTGGTACCTTCACGATCTGTCCCGCAGCTCTTCAGCCAGATGCCCGTCAGCAACATGTAAGTGCTGGGGAGCTGCCTGCAGCTTGAGGCTTGGGCTGAGCTGGTCTGTGGTGAGAGCGTGTGCTTGAAATGCCGGTGCTGTGCTCCCACAATCTGGGCTTTCCTCAGGAAGAGGGCCCTGATTGTCTTCATTGCTGGGGTACGTGTCTGTGGGTTTTGTTGTTGCTTGCGTAAGGAGAACCAAAGTGACTTGGGGGTAGTAAACGGTTCCTGGCTACCTCAACAGAGAGCAATTTCATCTCAATTTATATCAGCCAGCAAAGGCTTTCATCCACAGTAACCACTCACCAGCGTGTGTAAGAGGGAGAGGAAATCCTGCTAGGAATCCCTCACAGCTGTGCGTGGCAGTTCAAGAGGATCACGCTGGGGAGTCGAAGCCCTGCCAGTGAAGGAACCACACCTGAAGAGCTCAGCAGCATCTTCTGGGCAGCCTTTCCCTGGGAAGAGCTGTCCCCAAAACGACTGCTGGGATGCACAGGTGTAAGGCAGCAGCAGCCCTGGGCAAGGGGACCAGAGCTGTGCCCCGGTGCGAGTGACAGAGCCATGGTCCCAGAAAGCAGTTCTGGTTTTATTCTGCACACACCAGTGCTGTTCCTTGTGTGGGGAAGTGTCACCAGCCCCACTGCTCTGGAGGAATGTCACCGGTGTCCAGGCGTGCAGTGGCTTTCTGCCTTCGGTGTGTCATTAGTGATGGAAAAGTGTTGGGGGGAAGGGTCCCGTCCATGTAGAAAGGAAGCAGGGAGCCTGTGAGGTGTTCTTCAGGACATAGTTTGGGATCATCTTCCAAAGATGGATCTGAGAGAGGCGCTGAAACTGGGTGAGCCAAGGAGCCATTCCCATTTCAGCTCTTACGCATCCCTCTATTGTAAGCAGAAGACTTGTACCAAGTGTTCGCTTTTGCCCTCCAAACTTCTGACTGCTTCTGGTTGCCCTGCACAGGAGCAGCTTTTGCTGCACGAAGGCTCACTGTAGTCGTCCCCACGGTGTTTCATTTCCTTTTCTTGTCTCTGCTGTAGCCGTAACCTGGGGGGCAAGCTCGGTGCTGCCATCATGGACATCCTGGAAGTGGAGTACATCGGGGAGGTGGCGCAGTTCAGCGAGACGGAGCTCCAGACTCACTTCGGAGACAAGACAGGGTAAGGAGCTACCGCTTGCTGCCGTTTGGCTCTTGGCAGGAACCGAGACTTCCTTCTGACTGTAGGCTGTTCTGGAGTGGTTCGGAAGCTTGGGAGGCAAAAATGCAGTGAGATCTTTGAGGGGGCAGAAGCAGTGGTGCAGCAGGCCCACAAACAGGCTTCTGGGCTTGCCCTCTCCCTGACGCCCTCACCAAGACAACGTTTTGCCTGCCACCAGCTCCTCTGCCCTGCTCCATGGTTACATTTTCCGTTGGCTGCCTTTACCTCGTGCTTCCTCTGGCTTTCAGGTCCTGGCTCTATGACTTGTGCAGAGGAATTGATGACGAACCTGTCAAAAATCGGCACTTGCCCCTGTCCATTGGCTGCAGCAAGAACTTCCCTGGGAAGACAGCCCTGGCTACGCAGAAGGAGGTAGGAGAAGCCCACATCTGGCAAAAAAAAAAAAAAAAAAAAAAAGCTTGGCCTTTGGACCAGGTAATAAAAGAACATTAACAGCAGAAACTAGCTAGCAAAAACAGTGCTTTTCTGTGTCACAGTGCCCTGAAACCTGAGCTAGGGGCCTGGTAGGAGGGAGTGATTTAGGTCCCATGAATTAGAGAAATCTCTTGTTGACAGAGTTGCATTGACAAACTCTTCCACAGAAAGGTCCAGCCATGTCGTTTCCATGAGCAAAATAGGCTTGTGCTGTTCAAAAGGTGTTCGTGGTGCCAAGCTTCCAGGGCTGGTTGCTAGAAAGAAGGTAATTAGCCCAAAGAAAGGAGGAGGAGGCACCTTCCATGTGTTCTGGGGAGGGCTTTGCTCTGGCCTGGTGGCAGCGCTGTCAGCGTGGGCCCAATCCTGTTTGTTGTTGTTTTGTCCAGGTGCAACACTGGCTCCTGCAGCTGGCCTTGGAGCTGGAATCCAGACTGATCCAAGACAGGAATCAGGTAAGGAGTGGACAGTGGATCCTTCCTGCTGTGCCTGAGGAGGCCAGGCCTTCGGGAAGCCACGGGGTGCTGTTTGCAGGAGGCTGGTGGTGGTGGGAGGAGGGTCTGCCTGTTCTCAGGTGTTCTCCTTTGCTGAGGTGCTGCAAAAAGGTGTGTGAGAGCCTGGCCAGCAAGGATGGCTCTGTCCCTAGAACGCTGCAGGGCTAAGGCTGGTCCTTAAAGCCTGCTGCATCCTCATCCTGCATTGCTGCAGCTTGCAAGCCCTTTGCTGTCCCGTATCACATCCCTGGGAGATCAGGCTGGGCAGGACAAGCTGCTGTTTGTCACCCAGCATCAGAAGTAACTGACTAGAGGGCTCCGGGCAGCGAGGCCGTCTCTGGAGCCATTCCTGCTCTTCCCTGTAGATGTCGCTTGCAACTCAGCTGTGCCTTCTCTTCCCAGAACCACCGAGTGGCCAAGCAGCTCATGGTGGTCATCCGCATGCAGGGAGACACCCGGCTGTCCCGCTTCTGCTCCATCACCCGCTACGACGCCCAGAAGATCTACAGCGATGCCTTCGCCCTCATCCAAAACTGCAACATGGCCGGGGCTCACCAGGCAGCCTGGTGAGTGCGGGAGGAAGCGATTCGTGTCCATTCGTGTCCCTCCTGCCCTCTGTCTTTGACTTGAGGTCTCACCGCAGCTCCAGCCTGTGGTGGGCTGGCAGTGCAGGCTGGCAGCTCGCTACCCCTGCTCCAGTGCCTGGTTGCTTTTTTTCTTGGGGGAAATGCTGTTCTGGGAAACTTTCTGCTCTGCCCAACCCAGCCTGCTGTGTCCGTGAGGCTGTGTTGCAGAGATAGCAATTCTCGCAGGAAACCTCCTTCCCACCCCGTGCCAGATACCCAGACTAAGCTCTTCTGCAAGTTTCCCTCCCTCCCCTGCCTGTGAATGTTTTATGTTTCTTGAAGCCTTACCTCAAAGGGCGTTTTGCTTCCCAGGATGGTGTCTGAGTGGCTGTTGTTCTGTCCCTTGCAGGTCTCCGCCGCTCATATCCGTGCTTCTCTCAGCCAGCAAGTTCTCAGGAGGCCACCACGCACCTTTCTGCGGGCATCGCCGCCTTCCTGACAAGTGACACCCAGCCCGATGGCACTGACAGTACGAAGGCCACGTCTGGCAGGGGGCCCATGGTCAAGTTTTTCAGGAGCCCAAGCAAAGAGCACAGGCAGAAGCCAGCTAACGCTATTGAGTCCTTCTTCCAGAAGGCAGCAGAAAAGCGGCAGTCGCAGGCAGCAGCAAGCAGCCTGCCAGCTGCTACCAGCTCCTCAGAGCACCCGCAGGGAGCTGCTGTTGGATTTGCCTCTGAGCAGCGTGATCTGGAGTCCCCCGTGAAGCAGAATCCCAAAGATGGGAGCCCTTCTCCGAGCAAGAGGCTTCTTCCCTGCGAGCCGCTGCTGTCTGATGCCACGCAGACGCCCTCCACCCCACCCAGCTCAAGGATGCTTCGGAGTTCGGAGCCAGCTGTGGAAGGCAACGAGCAGAACTTGCCGCCCTCTCCCGAGCTCCCCCTGCTCCCTCCTGCCTCGCCGGGTGACCAGCAGCGCTGTGAGAAGTGCGGCCAGCACGTGCTGGTGTGGGAGCTCCCGGAGCACATGGACTACCACTTCGCTGTGGAGCTGCAGAGCTCCTTCCTGGAGGCCAGCTTCCCCACGGCTCCGCCTGCAGCTGCCAGCTCTCCTGCCAAGGCAAAGAACAAGCCCAAGACTCCGGCAGGATCTAGTGCAAAGCGCCCTAGGGAAGGCGTGACAAGAACTTTAGATTTTTTCTTTAAACGCTTGCCTCCTTAACATCCAGCCGGGCTGGGAGTTTTTAGATAATCGCCGTTTTTAAATACGGTTATTAGATTTTATCCTGCCTTGCCGGGTTTTAATGTGGGGAAGTCTAATAAATTATCTCTACCCTAAGTCTAAGAGGAACTGGAACTGATGAATAGCGCGTGGTGCAGGATGTACCCAGCTTCCCAAATTGCTCAGCTGGGCTGGTGGCAGCTCGCTTGCCTCTGCATCATCCTCACATCTTGCTCTTGCTTTTCCCTGGGATGGGAACGGGGGCTCCCAACACTGTAACAGCAGGTGCTGGGAGCACAGTGGCTCATCCTAGGGCATCTCCAGCCAAGACCAGGCCTGAACCCCAACCCAGTCACTTCAGAGGAAGCCTTTACCTCGTGATTTTCTCTCCTGGCTGCGGTTGCAGGCCTGGCCCTTACTGTATTTTATGTACAGTAGCTTAGTCTGATGGTTACATCTCCCTTCTCTACTCAGGAGGGCAACACTTTTTTTTTTTCTTCCACCAAAATGGATTTTCCACTGCATGCTTTCTTCTACAGAAGGTTTTTTTTTTTAAATACACACTTTGACAACTCTCTCCATGTAGCAGTCCAGTGCATGATGCTTGCCACCAGCTCTGGAGCGCCCAGGAAAGACTGCTCCCTGCTTTGAGGAGGCTGGAGCAGCAGGGTCATGCTTTCAGTGGGCTTTTTGAAGTCTCAACACTAGTTCCAGGTAATTGCCATTGATGCATATGCCCAAGTCCTAATACCAGGGAGGGGGAAGCAGGCTAGTCACACAGGCTGTTGACAGTGTAACCACAATTCTCCTCTTTACAGGCTCTGGGTGATAGCACACACAGCTCCATTAGAGGTATCTGCTTTGTTTTTGGTTGGCAGAACAACTTGTTCAGCTCTCTGGGCCATGGTTCACACATGAGAGCCTCCCCAAAAAGGCAAGGGAGCTGAGACAGCTGAATATCTTACACGGAAACTGCGAAACTGCAGGCACTGAGGAGGGGAGATGCCCTGCAGGGCAGGAGATGCGCTCAGGGCTCAGCTCTTCCAGCTGTGCAGCCGCAAGGGTTTGGCTCCAAGCAGGGGGAGGGAACTCGCCACGTCAAAGCAGTGCCGGGTGGGGGCTGGAAACTTTGCAGAGGGTTTCGTCAGCTGCAGCCTTCCCCTCCTTCAGCAGGGGGAGAGCCTTTCGGGCAGCAGCTGATGCAAAGCGCAGCTGTCCTTGCACGCTGTCGTTTCCTCGTTTCTGTGGGGCACCACCCTGCTCGTACCGCTGAGCTGCTCTCCCTCCAACTTGGCAGCTGTCACCAAGTTTTGAGAAGCTCAGGGCACAGCCCGTGCTCGTGCCTGCAGTCACGAGAAGGAATTACAGCGTCCCTCCCCTTAATGACAGCCCTCACGCTGCGAAGTGACAGGTTCCCTGAAGTCCCCGTGTGTAAAGGGAAACAGCAACCAGTCAGGTAGGGTTGCCTCACGTTCCTGAGCCGACAGCACACCTCACATCCTAAATGTCTGGCCGGACCGGCCTCAGCAGGTGCCACTGCCTGCCACAAAACCACGCAGAGAGCAGGCACAACCCTTCAGTGCTGTGTCACCTCCACAGGCAGCCCTCCTGCCCCTGCTCGTCCCCAGGGAACGACGTGTTCTCATGGGCGGCACTGGCAAACCCCTTGATAAGGCTGACACTATTTTAAAAACAAGCCGGGGCTTAGGTCTGTGCCCTAGAAAGCATCCCTTGAACCAGGCTGGGAGGGAATGCGTGACCGTGAGGAAGCAGCAGCCAGAAGTGCTGTGCTCAGGGTGACGTGGCCACCCCGGGCTCGCTCAGATAAGCCGGGAGGGCAAGGCTGTAAACAGCAGCCCCACCACGCCACGCCACGGGATTTATAGGGCCGAGTGCAGGAAGCTTAGGAAGGGGTGACCCAGCACCCTGGCAGCAGGACAAGAGCCCGCCTTCGCTCCTTGCACGACTCCAGCCACCTCAATAAAACATTTTTATTCTGTACAGTGATATCTCGGTGCTGGGGGACACGGCTGCCACCAGCTGGCGTCACCCCCCGTGCAGGGCAGCTTTCTAGCACCAAATGGACGTGCTGAAGGGCTGGTGCTCGTGGCTGACCCCCACGATTTAACAGTCAGCAGCAAAACCAGAAGCTTATGTACAGCTCGGCAGCCCCTGCTGCACCCTCCAGGCTCAGAGGGGCCCGGAGGAGCTGCGTGACAGCGAGTGAAAACCAGAAGTGCCCCACTTTTCGTGCCCAGAGTCCTCGCTGGCAGCACCAGCTTTCCTCTCGCAGCACGCCCCAGTGGCAAGGGAAAAAAAAAAAAAAGTCTTTCTTGAGGAGAAAAAGAAAGCAATTCCCGTCGCTATCAAATCACAGCCACACAGAAGTCACCTTGGTGTTAGCGAGGCTGCCTGCCCCCACACATTAAGGCAAGCATGTGAGGAGCAGCGAGCTGCAAACCGCTGTGGCCAATGCGCTGACGGCACCGAACGGCCACAAAAACAACCTGCCCGTGCCAGCACAGGGCCCGGGCCCCGCTCTGCACCACCGCACAGCCTCCTGCTCTGCTGCTGCGAGGAGCAGACCCTGAGTGCAAAAGTCCTGCACCACCCACAGCTTCCTCCGAGTCCGAAAGTGGGATGCTGATGGAGTGCACGGGGACAGGACGGGACAGGGCGCCCGCCCAACAGTCAGGCACTCGGCTTGGAGTGATGCAAAACCAACAGACAAAGGGACACACCGCAGATTAAAAGCCAACCAAGGTTAAAACGGTGAAAAAGGGTCCTGAATGCGTTTCGAGAGGTTCGAGCAGGGCCTCTTCCATCCCCTCGGCCCGGAGGGATGTGCTGCGGGGTGACCCGAGGAAGTGCTGCGTTAATTAACCCAGAGCTCGAGGAGCTGGAGTGGGGCCAGATCCCGTATGCGAGGTGGGAAAACATCCCTTCACTGCTCGTCTCCCAGGGTTCTGCTCCTCCCAACCAGTAATTTCCAAACAGTAAACAAAGCCAGAACTTGCCTGCCCAGGTCTGCAGGTGCCTCTGATCTATTCTGAGGGAGGGCAGGGTAATGAAAGCGGCAGGCAATGCGGAGAACGTGCTCAGCTTGCCCCTCGTATGGCACCGAAGGCGAGAAACTCTCCGAGGCTCCATCTCCCAGCGTGGAGCAGGGCCACCCCTGCCAGAACCGGACAGCAGCAGCTCCAGGCACCACTCAGAGAGCCACGGGAGCTTCCATCCTTCTCCCTGGCCGTCGGTGAGCGGAGATCTCCCTGACCTCGTGGTAGTCAGAAGTTGAGCTGCCCAGGCCCCAGGGACTCCTCCAGGCCGTTTTCTTTGGTGGTGATGGCTTGGAGGTCAGTGACGTGCCCGATGCCTTTGGTGACTCCTTCACGGAAAAGCAGCTTGGCTCCGATCTTCAGGTACTCCGGATGCTTGATGAATCGGAAGCAGACAACGGCCTTCTCTCCCGTCCGCAGCTTGTCCTGAAGAGAAAAAGGGCACAGCTTAGACCCATCTGCCCTGTCCGTGCACGCAGATGCTAAGGGGAGGAAGCAAACGAGCGGGTTGACTCCCTCAGGCTGCACGGCTTCAGTCCTTCCCACTGCTGGTGGCACAGGGGAGGGCAGGAAAACACAAGCTCTGGGGAAGGCAGAGCTCATCCCCCTCCTCAGTCTTGCTGAGGAGGAAAATCTTTAACATGTTGGGAGGGGAAATGGGTAGAGGGTAAAGGGATGGAGTGTGCTCCTAGGAAGGGACACAAGTACTGCGGATAGCAGTAGCCCCTCGCTTTAGTAGGGGACACAGCAGAATCCCAGCAAACCTCACAGGGAGGTGAGTCTTTCTCCACTTTCCTCCTGTGCCTTACCTTTCCGTGGATCTTCTCTACGATAGCCGTCTGCCGCACGTTCCCCACGTGCACTGTCACCTGAAAGCCTTTCCGGAAAGTTGTGGCATGGAACAGCAGCACAATCTCGGCCTCAAACACCGAGCAGATGGTGGGGTTCATCTCGGGGCTCACCATGACCATGCCCTGTACGACAACCCAAAGCTCAGACCGGTTAGGGCCAATCCCCCAGCTTCTGAACAGCACCCAAAAACCACAAACATCTCCACTCCGGGACGTGGCCTTGCACCCCACTCTCAGCCCAGTACTCACCCTATTTCACAGACCATTTCCTTCCCTTCCAACAGGTTTTCTACAAACATCTCTCCTTCATTCCTGCTCTACCAACAGGGGAACCCCAGGAAAGCCTCCAGTCCCTCTCGCTAGAGCAGAGATGAAGCTGGCAGCACCAGGACCCACCTTGCGCAGCAGGGAGCGGTCGAAAGGCCCGAGGGCCAGCGTGGCTGCCTGGCCGGCCCGCAGCACGCGGCAGGCCGAGCGGTTGCGTTGGATGCTGCACACTTTCAGCCGGAGGAACTTCCCGTCGTCCGTGGGGCCAACCACCAGGCTCTCCCCTTCTCGGCAGATCCCACTGGCCGGGGCACAACGGCAGGACAGAGCTCGTCAGGAGACAGGGAGGAAGATGCACCGAGATCGACCGACACAAACTCCCCAGGGCCAGGGAGGTGAGCGCCTTTGGGCTTTTACCCAGGCGTGGGACCAACTAACAGGGACAAAACACTGGTGGGGACAAGGATTTCCTACAGTAGGGGCAAAAGCCACACTATCACCCCACAAAATACTAAATATCCCTCACACGGGGCCTGTCTCTCTGCCACACTGCTTTGTTCTTGCTGGAGACTGCAGTTGCCACCTGTTTTGTGTTAGTGCACTCTTATCCAAAATGCCCTGATCATTCCCAAATGCTGAGGGACAGCTGGCTTCTCATAGGGTGGCATGAGGTTTGCTTCTCCTGGGATCAGGGGACTTGCCTCCTACATCTCCCCCTGCTTGAGGAAGGAGGAAAGCAACACCTTGGGATCCTGGCTAACCTCTGGATGCCAGCGTGCCTTCCTCCAGCACACTCCAGGTCACACTCCTATCACCCTGCTTGCCACTGCACGAGCAACGATCTGCTCAGGGCACCTCCCAGCACTCTGTAGGGCTTTATCCTCCCTTGGCCCAGTTATCTGGCAGGAGTCAGCACGGAGCTTTGTTCTGCTTCCACCTGCAGCGGGTAATTGTAACCTTGTGGGAACCCCAGCAACCACACACACCCACGCCCGTCTGCCTGGCCTCACTTACCTCGACAGAGTTCCTCCCACAACAGTCCCCACCTCTGGCACAGTGTAAATTTCATCCACCTGCAACAGGGAAACAAGGAACAAGCTGCTCAGACACCTGAAGAACAGCACTCCAGGATGAGAACAAGCTGCCCACCCAGGGGGCATCAGGCACCACTTGAGAGCTTTCATCAGCCTCTACAACCTTTCTCTTAGAGGACCCTCTGCCTTTTAAGGGGGAAAAAAATCTTCTCTCTGAATGTACATCCCTTGCTTAGGACAGAGCCTAGCCTAACAGGCTTTTTTCAATAAATTAATTCTTTCTTTACTTGAACCAACAGCTCAGAAGTTCACCGTGTCTCTCCCTGTGGTGTCCAGAGTTCCCAGATGTTTGTCACATGGCACAACAAGTGCAGTAATAAAACGAGCCAAATTACCCTTATGTACCTGAAACTCAGTGAGTTGTTGCATTAGTTCCTCCTGCTCTTTACTGTTGGTCAGTGGAGGAAGGATGTTGAGGAAGACTTTCAAGAGATCCAGGTTCTCCCCAGAAACACTGGACAGTGTGAAGATTGGGGTGATGCTGCCAGACACAAAGAGAGAGGAGTAAGCAGAAGGTGGCTGGGATTCTGAATCTACCCAGTCAGCAACAGGACAGAGACTACAAAGATAAACAGCCAGAGCAGGAGGGCACACGGGCTAGGTGCAAATCTGCAGTAACCCCTGCCTCAGCGATTGCTTGAGGCGCCAACCCTCTGTCAACCCATGTTTCTGTCTTGGAGAAGCAGCTCCTTCTGCTCCCAGAGCCCAGAAAAATGCCTGGGAGGCAAAAACGCAGAGGTAGGAAACCTGATGAGGAGCCCAGATGTTCAAAATGTGCTGCTCTCCCCTGTGGTCACCTTTTCCCAGCTCCGCACAGCAGCCCAGTCTGAATTGCCAGGTCCCAGCAGAAAAAAATGATCCCTTACTTGGGAGACTGTGCAAACTGCTGGGCTGCTGTAACAGCATCATCGTCTGAGGTGACGAGAAGGGGGAGCTTGTTGCAGCCCGGCTGCTTCAGAATTCGCTCCAGCTGCTTCACTGTCCGCTCCACGGTGGCTTTGGAACACAAGTCAACTTTGCTGATGACGATGAAGAAGGGGACCTTGAGGGCCATGGCCAAGCCCAAGTGCTCTCGCGTTGTGCCTGCTGCAGGAGAGAAGTGAGAGTGTTGGTGCAGCAGCGTTCACCACTGTTGGTTGCTTACGTGACAGCTACGTCACCCAATTAGGCCCTCCTAATTGCCCACCCTCAAGATTTCACCCCAACAGCTCAGTCCATCAGGCAAGGAACAAACGAAATTATTCTTTTCAACAAAAACCAAGAGCATTCCAGAAAAACAAAAACAACCCAGAATTATTGTAAGTGATCTCTTTGCTTCAGAAAGAGGCGGTAGTTTTCCCTCTTGAGCTACAGTTTGCCAGGGAACAACCACAAAAATGTCACAGAAAGATGTGGGAGAACTCCAGCTGCCTTTTCACAAGGCTGAAGGATTCAGCACCCCTAAGAATATGTAAAAGCTTTTTTTTTTTTTTCTTTTTTTTCCCCCCTAACAAACACAGCCCCAAATTCCAAACAAGCTTCTCTGTCCAGAGAACTGTTTAATGTGGTTTATGGCTGGTAACCCAGCTCTGCTCCCCTCCCAGGCCCTCAGAGGCATTGGCCTACAAAAAAATCATTAGGGACTCGCAGACTAAAATGTTTTTTTCTGACAACTATCACTGCTAACAAAGACCTGCACCCCACATTCCCCATTTCTATTCACACTGCTGTCGGTGTCTGCAGACAGCACCAGACTTACCAATGCCGGTGTTGGCGCTAACCACCAGCATGGCAAAATCCGGACAGTAGCTGGTGAGGCCGAAGATGGTTGTTTTCAGGTACTTGTGGTGGCCAGCCAGGTCGATGAACGTGATCATCTTGGAGGAACTCTCACAGATCTCTTCTGCTGTTCGGGAGTCACTGTAATTTACCACCTGAGGAACATGAGGACTTGGTGAGCGGAGGAGCCTCAGCAGGCAAGTGAAGGAAGGGACAGCTCTTATCAGTCCACTTTGACCTCAAAATTAGTGAAGAGAGATCATTTACCACGGGTGCAAGAAACTACTTCTGTTGCAAATGGGCAGGCAGCACTCAAGTTCAGCTATGGGGACATGGAATTGTGCCACCTCTCTTCTCTCATGCCCCCCTCAGTGCTGTAACAGAAGGGTAGTCCTGTTCTCCTCCACCATCCCAACCACTCCCGGCTGAGTTCAGCAGCCCCCTCCCTCACCTCTCCTTTGCTGTTGAAGCCAAGAATTTCAAAACTGATGCTTGATGTTCTTCCTGACTGGATTTCATGGAGATGCCGGAAGAGATTGAGGCGTGCTCGGCCCCGTCCGTTGTCCAGTTCGCCTTGCGTTAGGACACCCAACAGGGTTGACTTCCCTGAGTCCACATTCCCCAACACAGCCACCCGCAGGTCTAAGAACTACAGGAAAAAGAGAAAAGAAAAAATTAAACCAAACTGCTGCTCTGCTGGGTGTGTGTGAGCACTGCATGGCAATGGAGACGTGCCCCAGAGAGCTTCCTTCCACGATGGACACTGCAGGGTAATCTTGCTCTGATTCTGCTCCTGCTCATGGCAAATGACAGCTGAGGAGTTGTGATACACTCTCGAGTGTTGTGACTTGACTCATCAGCAGGAAGTCTAAACTCTTCCTTGTTTGCACACTGGGCTGCATCACAACTGCTGTCAAAGAAGCAAAATAGTTTCTCGCATCTGATCCAGCCAATCTCTGCTACTCGGAATCTGCCGCAACCGCAACCTTGGAGATAAAAAGCACTGTCCTCAAAGTCGCACTTTGGCAGCTCTTTAAAGCACCTGCTACGGCCCAATCTAGGGTGAAGTGCCTCTAGGGTTTAGACTCCCATCCCAAAAGCAAGCTTCGTATGTGAAGGCTGTAAGATGCCAGCAGAAGAGGACAGCCAAACCTCAGGTCCCTACCTGCTGGTTGTCAGGCACCTTTCGGACGAGCACCTCTGTTATCTTCCTTGGAACGTCGCTGTCGTAATCCACCTCCCTCTCCCGCAGCACCGTAATGTCAGCCCCAACCCTGGCACAAACACAGGAGGGAAGAGTGAGACACGTGCTTGTACTCGGCACCCCCTGTACCTGCACAGTCAGACCTGGCAAAGGGAACGGGACAAAAGCTAGGAATAGCAAGGCAGGCGCCTCAGGCTTTAAGCCAAAAAGTCCTCGAGCTGCCTTCCTATTTCCAGAGCCTCGTGATAAGGGAATTTCAGTCATACAAAGATGTTGTGGAACGGAGCCACCAGCTCCTCTGGGGACTCCCGGAGCCAAATCTCTGTACTGGAGGCTGTTTATGCCCGCGGGTCCCGCAGACAAAAGGGAAGACGTACTTCTCTGCCATACGGCGCAGCGTCTTGAGCGAGGCGCGCATCTCCTCCTCCGAGAGGCCCACCAGCAGCCCGTTGTCCTCCACACCGATCTGATAGACGGCCTCACCGCGGCCTTCCTGTAGCCGCCACTTCATCTGCGTCACCAGGTGCTCAAATCGGTACTGCGAGGGGTTCACCAGCTTCAGCTGTTTAACAGAGCGAGGAGTTACAGCTGCAGCTCGGGTGCTGAGGGAACCCCACTGCCCGAGCCAGCAACTCTCTAAATCAACCCCATGAAGCAACGCCCCCAACCCTGAGATCAAACTCTTCCAGCTCAGCATACCGGGCATCGCTAGGCACAGAGATTGTTCTTTAGTACAGCGCTGCTTTTCTGTCCCTTCCTTTGACGTGCTCCCCATAGGCTGCCTTTGCATACGTTACTCACTGCAAGGTAATTGTCTGGGAGGAAGACTTCCTGCAACCACAAAAGGCTCACCTTGTACTCGATGTTCCCATCTTCTGCCTGGTCAGAGAATAAAACAAAACAAAGGTTAGATGCTGTGCCAGCAGGGACTTCTATGGGCTATATCAGCTGCACAGATACTCTGCAGTTTGTATTGACAGTTTCAGAGAGGGAAAACTGCATATTGTCAGGTCACAGCCCGTTCTGCCATTCACTCCTAAACTAAACTGGAACTTACTGTAGGTTGTGTGATGTAAATAGAAACAGAAACAATGATGAAAACCAGGTGACAAAACTAGAGAGTGACACAGGGCATCATACCGCTTTGGGGGGGGAGGTTATTTATTTATTTTTTTACCTGCCAGCAAAGGCTGGGGACAGTCACAGAGAGTTCCAGTTTCAGAAAACGTACAGCGTATGATGAAGTGTGTTAGTGTGTTCCCCCCTCCCCACTCACACCCCACACTGCCAGCCAAACCATCCCCCCTCCCACCTCGTCCAGCACCTTCAGTTCGCCCGGTGTGCACAGAGACAGGGGACGGGGAACAAAAATTGCTGTGTATTTGCTCATTTATTGATACCCTCAAGTAACTCCTGCACTCGTTTGCTCTAAGCTCCAGGAGCCGAGCGCTCTGCCAGCCCACGCTCAGCGCTTCCTTTTCCCCCAGACACCAGTTTGCAGGTGAGGAGAGGCAGCAGCCCTCTGCCCCTGCCTCCTAGCCCAGCTGCTGGCCACAGCCCGGCTCCTGGTGGCCAAAAACCAAGGGAGGGAAGCCCTGAGCTGCCAGCTGCGCTCTGGGGCAGCGGGGCTGTGCAGCCAGCAGGGTGTAGGCGGGAGGTTTCCCTTAGCGCTCAAAGCTGGCGGAGGGTGAGAAAAACCCCAAATAAAAGGGCTGGGTCTGCTTCAAGGCAGCAGAGGGAGGAGAAGCAGCAAGCGGGGGGGGGCGAGAAGAGGAAGCGGCGCTGACAGCAGCCGAGGGCCGAGGGGAACAACGACTGCAGGGGACGATCCCGGTGACGGAGGGGACCTGCCAGCCCCCCCGTGTCACCCCCCCGGGCAGGCAGCGAGCCCAGCAGGGCTGAGGCGCAGCACGGGGGGCACCGGGGCGGGCACAGCCCCCCCGGATCCCCGTTCCCCCGAGGACCCCCGACCCCCGCCGAGCCCCGTGGCGGCGCAGGGCTCACCTCGGGCGGCAGGTAGGGCGGGTTGTTGGCCTTCCCCCCCCGGCTCCGCCCGCTCTTCTTCTTCGCCTTGGAGCCGCCGCCGCCGCCGCCGCTCCCCCCGCAGCCGCCGCCGCTGCCCCCGGTGCCGGTGCCGGGGGCGCCCCCCCCGCGCCCTCGCAGCGCGGCGCCCGCCGGGCGGCAGCAGCCCCCGAACAGCTCCGACACCCGCGAGTCCATGGCGGCCCCGGGCTCGCCGCCCGGGCTCCCCGTTGCCCCCCTCTCTCCCTCCCTCTCTCCCTCCTTCTTCCTTCCCCTCCCCTCCCCGCCCGCTGCGCGGCGTCACGGGAAAGCGAGGCCGTGCCCACCGCCCCCCTCCCGCCTACAACTCCCGGCACGCCCCGCGCCGCGCCCCGCGGGTTGCTCTATGGAGCCCGCCTCGCGGGGGATGATGGGAGTTGGAGTCCCGCGGGGCGCTGCCGTTTCTCCCCCCCCCCCCCTCCCTGCGCGGTCTCTCCGTGCCTCCCGGGGGTACCCGCGGGGGTCTCGGGGTTTGGCAGCTCGCCGGCTGCCGGCAGGGGCTGGGAGGCAGCGCGTTTGCGAAGATGCTCGCCATCAGCTGCGCAGAAACGGCAGCGGCTCGAGCTGCTCAGAGAGACACCGCGACCTGCTGCTACAAGGGGGCTGGCAGCCAAACCCGCGGGCTGTTTTTGGGGACAGCTGCCGTGCCCGCCCCCGCCCCGCTGTCACTGAGCTGCCCTGCTTCGGGCTCGCTCGTCCCACCGCCCGCCCTCCGCCGTGGCTCGGCGGCTGCGCCCAATGGGGCCGCGGCCACGTTGTTGCCAAACACGGGGCCGCTCCTCCCGCCGCCGCCGGGCCCCGCTCCCCGCCTCGGCCGCGGGGAGGCGCCGCCACGGAGGCAGCGGGGGGGGCACCGGGCCGGCAGTGAGGGCAGCGACAGCCGCGGCTCCCTCACAACCACGGGAGATGCGGGGAGAAAAACCCCGCTGGCCTGCAGGAGGGCTCCCACTGCGCCACAGACAGGGACAACACATGCTTAGGGAGCCTCAGGGCTGGTGCAAGCAGCGCCACGCCGCCTCAGCGCGGCGGGTGGCGAGAAAACGGAGCCACCGAGTGGCCACACACAAAGCCCCCTCCCTCCTCCTCTCCCTCCCCACCGCCCTCCGGAAGGCGCGGGGCCGGGCATGGCGCCGCTCCCATGGTGCCCCGCGGCGGCGGCCATTCAAACCCGAGCCGGGAGCCGCCGCCGCCGACAAAATGGCGGCGCCGGGGGGCGCTGAGGCAGAGGGCGTGGGGGCGAGCCCCGCTTCCCCGCTGCTCCCCGCCGAGCCGCCCGCAGCCCCCGGGCTCGCCAGGGGGCCTCATCGCGGCGGGATGGCGGCGCCGCCGCTCAGCCCCACGGTGTCCGTGGTGTTCCCGGGCGCTGTGAGCCGGGAGAGCTGCTGCCGCTTCGCCTGCGAGCTCCTGAAGCACGTCCTGTACCAGCGGCACCAGCTGCCGCTGCCCTACGAGCAGCTCGCGTACTTCTGCCGGCGGCCCTCGCAGGTGGGTGCAGGGTTTTGCTTTTTTATTTTATTTTATTTTTTCCTGAGGAACTCCGCCAACGTTACGGGAAGCGGCTGGCAGGGCTCAGCGAGTTGTTATTTTTACCCCCTTTTGCCTCAGTCTGCACTCAAAACACATCGCTCTTCTTGCACAAATAACACTAGCAAAAGCCTTTTGAAGTGGCTTCAGGGTGGAAGTTGGCCTTTGAAAGATGAGGTTTTCTTATCTTTAAGATTCATTGGTAGCTTGATGTACACTCAAATTGAGCAGCAGTAATGTGGCATTTCCTGTTATTCCTACACCTCCTGACTTCACATGAGAATACTTTATTACCTTTAAAAGAAGCATAAAACCCTACGAATCTTCCTCAAGTTTCAGGGAGGGCATGTGCCATGCTTTCTGAAGAACGCATTGGGGCCCTCTCTGCTTCTTCATAAATGTGCTAACCTGTTTTTTGTTTCGGTTTCCAGGTTGGGGACATGATTAAAAAGCCACCCTCTGTGGACCTGGCGAGCAAGAAATGCCATCAGGTGCTGACGGATCTGGAGGGAATGCTCCAGCACTTGGAAGTGATGTTCAGTTTGACTCTGGTTCCCCGGGTCCTTATCCTGCTCGGAGGCAGTGCCGTGAGTCCCAAGGAGCTTTACGAGCTCAACTTGGAGGCAGTGTGTGTGGGCAGCACTGAGGAGAGCCTGAAGACCACATCCTGCGTGCGTAAGCTCTTTCACTCGCTCTTCATAGCGGACGTCTTCAGTGAACTTAAGGCTCTGCCTGCCATGGGCACTGTTGTTATGCTCCAAGGACACCGCGATTGTGGTGTTGAATGGTTCCGGCCCAAGCTCAACTATAAAGTGCCAACCCGAGGAAGGAAACTAACTGTTAATTTGTCCTGTGATGGAGATATCAGTATAAGTGCCTCAGCTCCTTCGAGTACGACTTCTGCTTGGGAGGACTACGTATGGTTTCAAGCACCGGTGACGCTCAAGGGCTTTAATGAATGACCTGTGCTCTGTAGAATTTAAATGGAGTATTGAATAACCTTTGGTGCTGCTTTATGTGGTAATTTTATCAAATGCAACAGCACGTTTTTATCTATCTGGATCTCTTCCCCAGGGTACCTACTGCCTTCCTGTAGCTGGACTGTGTTCTTCCGAGTTCGTCTCCTGAATTGTCTTTGAAAGCAAATACCCTCTAAAGGCACAATTGCATACAGATACCATGATTCATTAGGGACCTGACCTGAGGCATAGGAAATGAATTAGTGTCTTGGGAATAAAACTTCTTAGCCACAGATTTGCTGAACTAACAAATACTGGATACAGTTTTCTGAGTTTTATTGCAGCCATATCTCTGGTAATAATGACTATGTTAGCTGATTATCTGGGATTCTAGATAATGTATGCAATTATTAATATAGTTTGCCTTTACAATGAAGGCTGTAACTATTCTTATCTACCCCACTGCTGTGAAAGGTGACATTTCCTGCAGTCTGATCAGGCTCGAGTACTGAAGTGCTTGCCCATCTATTTCACAAAATCAGACTTCCCGTGACTCAGTTCCAGTTTAACAATCTAAGGAGTGGCACTTTTCAGCAGTTGGGAGACTTCATGCCTAGCACAGTGCCTTTTACAGGCAGTGGAAAGAGGTTAAGCAGTCCTGTGGAGGCAAGGGAGCGCGTTTTCTTCCTGTTTTCTACTAACCTTTAGTCCATCAGAGCTGACAATCAGTTTGATATACAGTTAAGATTAGGAGTAAGCAATTTATTCTCTAGCCTTGAAGAAAGTTAGGACTCCTGCCCCAATGTGCTAGTTTATTCTCATTTTTTTAAAAAAAAGAAAGGCAAAATTCTGCTTGCTTTTGCCTTTCAGATATTTCAGAGTCTTAGACTCTAAAAGTTTCTGAAATGTGAAGAGGAGGTAAGGGGCATGTCATCAAGTTCAGCACTTTCTTTAAGTCAGAATGTCTTACCAGGAAGCAGAACTTGAATCCTTTCTTCTGGACTAATGTCTAGTACAGAATGAGACATGGAGGGAGGGAGAGAAACCTGTAAAGCACAATGTGCCAGAACTAGATATCTGCTGGAGTTGTCTGGAATCAGCTGTGCATGTATTTGTAATGTAATGAGCTTAATAGCTCCATCCCATTTGAAGAGAATCTCTAGTCTACTGGCAGTGAGGTTGCTTGCAGTTATCTGCTAGCAAAAGCTGCTTGATGGGGTGCTAAAAGTCCTTCGAAAGGAGATCAGAGGGTGAAGTAACCTTCCATACCTGTTGTATATTTTAAGCTTGTCTGACATTTTGGTGTGGAATAAGATTGTAGAACTGGAAGGAAATTAGTTAAGTTCATATTCTTGAGCTTGGAAAACACTAGGAGGATGCTCTCTGCCTTACTAGCCTCTGACAACTGTCATATAATGTGTAGTAACTGCTAAAGCTAGCTCCAGGGGAAAACTGCTAAAATAAAGCAAGCTGCCTTATGTGCAGCTGCCCACTTGGGAATGTAATCACAGGTCTCTCGAATGAAACGTAACTTGAACTATTCAGTAGGAGTGTTTGATGTGCTCAGGAGATCAAAGCCCTTCCGCACTTCCACCAAAGCTACTTGTAACACGTCTTTAAGAATGCTGGCACTCAAGAATTTAAGGAAGCTTTTGAAAAGACGCCTTAGTTCTGAGGATCAAGGGGCATGTTCCTTTCTGCTTTATCCCCCAAATGAGTGCAATGTTACTGCATTAAACTGTTTACATACTCTGTTATACTTGAACTATGAATGCAGCAATGATATGGTGCTGGAAATAAAAGATGACAAGATGCTTTTTTACATAGGAAGAGCTTTAGAACTTGATTAACTAGTAGTTACAATCATTATCAAAATAAAACGTTGCCTTCTGTATTGTGATTACATTGTTTATTTAATCCCTCAAAGTAAGGCTTCTGTGGGTAGCAGAGCGGCTTGCTTCTTTTCTATGTATGTATCCAAACAGCAGGTTCACAGCTGCTCCACCCTTCTCACAAAGTGGATGATGTCTTGTGCCAGAAGCTTTGGTTCCTCAAAAGCGGCGAAATGCCCTCCGCGGGGCATGTAAGAGTAACTGACAATGTTCTTGAAGATCGTCTTCGCCCAGCAACGTGGTACATGCGTTATCTCCTCAGGAAAAGCTGCGATCCCCGCAGGAACGTACACTCCAAACCTAAAAAGATGTTAGTTAACTGCATTTTTAAAAAAGTTCTTAGGGAAAATCTGGCTTTCAGAGTCTGAAGTAAAACCTTCTGACTCTGGTAGCTGTCATGGCAAGTCAGAGAAATTTTACCACTTTGTAGTCTACACTCTGCTGAAGAGCTTCATTTGTATTTGAGTCTCCTCAAGTTCAAAAATGTTATATCCAAAGATGCATAAAATGAAGTCCACTAACAGTATTAAATGTTGAAAAATGTTTCAGGTTTTTGAGATTGCTGTATAGCTTGGTGATATATCACATCTCTACATGAAACTCAGGAATAGGCTAACTCATATTTACTTCAGGATTTATGGTACCAGAATAATAAATTACTCTCTTGAGAGGGAAGGTAAACTGGTTGTCAGTCTACAGAGAATAAGACTCCCCTATTTTGTTTCTAATATCAATCACTTGGAGAGGAATTCTGCTCAGGGGTGTGTTTCCTGGTCAGCCTCTCTTGTAGTCATCTTAAAGCCAGCAGCTGTTAGAAGGTGTTGAGTTTCAAGTACTGCTCTCCTGGAAGCTTGTTTACTTAGAAAAATCCCTTCCCAAACTGCTTCTACAAGTTTCTGCTTAACAGCTGTAGTTCATAGCTTATCCAACAGTAAGCCATATCCTTCCTAATTCAGTTTAAATGTGTTAGAAATGCTCATGGTTTTCTGTTTTGTTTTTACCAAACCAAAACATGGATTATGTTTGTTTGTTTGGTAAATTATAGACCTGTATTTGGAAAACAAGACAGAATTACCTATTTTCTTGACCACAGGCCAGCCTGTGTAGGTTTTTAGGTTCAAAGGAAAAGTGACCTTTAACTTTAATTTATCAAAGAAAATAAGAACTCAAATTGTTTTCTTGCCTGGGTTAGATTTGCTGTTGTGAGAGATCTGAGTGTTTATACAGGCAAATCTGATTGTCTTGTCTGCAAATCTGTTTTGCACCTGCCACTTCATTACCTGGTATTATCAGATAGAGAAGGATCCCGGGATAAGTTCTCCTTGTAGTATCGCATGGAGGACACAATAGACGATGTCACCCAGTAAATCATCACATTGGTCAAAAGCTCATCTAGTGAGTACTTCCTATGGAGAAAGAAGAAGCAATTTATCCGAACCAATAGCTTGCAGGCAGCCTACAAGTTAACTACTTGTCACAGTAGTCTTTCATCCTTAAAATTCACCCAGTCTTTTACTTATCTCCTCATTAGCTATCATCACACTTCCTTTTAATGAGTTTTCTCATCAAAGAGCACTTGTTTCCTTACCTTTCCAAGCCTCCATCATCTCTATGCAGAAATGATTTATCTGTCCAGGTAGAGAATTTCTCCAAAATGTATGCAGCAAGCCCCACCGGGGAGTCATTCAGTCCACAACCTAATTCAGGAGAACAGCAGAGCTTTGGCATTTGCATGGCATTGTAACACTGCAGCTGAAGTTAAACTGGACTTTCACAAATTCCTCGGAGTTTTACATGAGAACTTGGTAGAGAGATTGTTTTTAATTTGCCCTGGCAGTACTTTATTCATGATGAATTTACCCCTATGGAGTTCCAGCTGTAAGTGACAGTGCTGCAAACACACCTGGCTCCTATGCAAGAGAAGCAAGGAGCAAAACCAGACCCGTCAGCTTCCTGTTGACGGGCAGGAGCACACCGGGATGGAAAGGGATTACACTCTACAAAGAACTTTTAAATAAACTATTTGGGAATGCTGTCCTGCTTTGGATGGGTAATCAGGACACGGAGCACAGTTCATCACCTTTTATGTAATTTAAAGAGTGGAGTGCTGTGTATCCACTACCTGTTCCTGCCCTTGGGGAGCGTTATGTTAGAAATGTTATAGAGGTAGCACATACATAGTACCTTATCTCCATGTTTTACTTGTAAAACAAGGATAATATTTACTTCAGTAGTGATACGGGCTTGCCTTCAGAAAATTCCTTGACAGTACTCCAGGCTGTAATTTTAGAGTGTACTAAGCATTGAGTACTTTCAGGTGTACTTTAGTGTGACTTCAGCACTGAATGACTTTTTAGAAGATGATGCACACCAGTGTCTCAGTTTAATAGTGGGCCTAGCTAAGGAAATTTGTACATTGGCACAACAATTTCCTGCACGTCAGGCCTTGAGTAATGTGCTACAGATTGAAATCATATAAATGCTTTGGCCAGCAGCAGTAGGGCAGGCTTAAATGTGTCATCCAGCATACAACCCATCTGGAGATGAGCAGTTTCTGGGCTGAAAGCTGCCTCTGAACCACTTTATTGAGTATCTGTGGATTAGACACTCAAATAGCAGTCTTGTTTGCAGCATGTTATTCAACACACCACAACTGGTGCTGTGCGAAAATACGCTGACTTTGCTTTAAACTTGCCTGATGAGAACTAAACTGATAATGTAGATATTTCTTAAGACTGAGTAGGGAATATATATATATATATGTATTTTTTTTCCATATTTACTTTCTACATTTCACAACTCTAGTGTGCTAAGAAGTCCCTGCTGTTTTTTCTTCCATGCTACAGAGTTCTATAATGTGTACAGAGTTTTTATGTAAGCTGCTTGATCACTTCAATTTTCCTTTTTCTCCCCTTTTTGTATTCTGATTCTAAGGCATGCTTATGAAACAGGCTGAACAGGAATGCAATGGGTCCTGAATATCATGGATTTGGTATTTTGTCTTGGTCTTTTTTTGTTGTTTTGCTTGTTAGACAGTCTGTAAAATGCTCTTGAACTTTGGCTGAGCTGGCTGACATTTGAAAGAACTATCCATGACTCATGGATTTTCTTATATGGCAACAGCTAAAGAGGAGCCCATTGTGATTTTCTTCCCCTAATTGCTTTGCACTTTGGTGACATCAAATTTTATTGGCCAGTTTAATCAACTAGTCAATTAAATGTTTTCGCAACTCTCTGCAGTTATCTTTAGATTAAACTAAGCCCTGGATAGCAGTCAATTTTTCACTTAACAATTAACTTTCCTCTGTAGGGAAATAAGGATCATGCTGAATTGTACAGGTGCCAGCACAGATTTTTGTGATACTCTCCTCACCCCTGGAGCTTGCTTACTTGTTCCTGTGCTCAGATTCTCATGTTAACCAGTTATTAGTCATGAACTTAGTCCTATTCTAAAGGCACTTTAATTTTTGGGGAAACATCAGGGAGGAACCTCAACAAAACCTAGTTTTTGGAATTTGAAATATGTTATACTACTGGATTCACTGCTCTTTGGTTCTGCCAGAGCTCTCATCTTTGAACCCTGATTTTCCTGTGACTCTATCACCTGTATATCAATTTTCTTCTTTAAAATAGTTCTGCCAGCTTGCTGATCACAAAGACTAGACATACTGATCTGTGTTTTTCCAGGGCTGCTGTCCCACCACTTCTATTCTTGTCTATTAAAAAACAAAACAAAACGCACAACAACAAAAGCAAACAAACAACAACAACAAAAAGACACCCTGCTATCTTGCTTGCCTCCTTTTATTTCTTTGGTATTGTGATGAGTTCAAGCAACAGACTATGTATTAACACCACTTTCATTTACTTCTGAATGTCTCAATGAATAGAAGGCTGAGATAGTATTCATTCTGTGATCTCTGCTAGCGAGACCAGTCTGAGGCAGTTCTGCTGTTATTCCTAGTGAGAGAAACACTCAGAATACCTCATAATCTTTATTAGCATGGATTAACACAAATAATTCATTTAACCTTTCTGAGATGGCCATATGTTTCTTCTGACTCTTTATCTACTGGCCACACTGACTCTGTCAGCCTTTGGGCTTTTAAGATTTAGGGCTAAGCCTACCTTCCTGCAAATTTCACATTACACTTGCTTATTTTCATGTTTTCACCTGTTTCTAGAAGCTTCAGTTTCAAGACCCTATGCTTCGCTTCAAGAGGCTTTTTGCAAAGGGGTTCTCTCCTCAAGAGAAGTGGTACTCCATTTTAAACAGTTTTAAAAGTAATATTTGCACAAGCAGTTTGTATACTATATATAACAATATAAAGAAGGTTCATTACCTGCAGTGTCTGGTTTGGTGGCTTGGATATGTAAGTAGCCAGATTCTCGCAGAATATCATATACATTCTTCTGCATGAAGGGGTACATCCGTCGAACATCTTCCCTAGTGAAGCCCACAAGCCATGGTACGTAAGCCCCAAGCATCACTTGAATCAACTTTTTAAAACCTCGTATGGTGATGAAGACAAGATTCACATGAACCCCCTTCACAGATCTAAAATCAAATCAATGAATAGGAAGTTAAATCAAGAAATTTTCTGTGTCCAAATTTTCTAGAAAGTGTGACTGGTGCTATGACAGAGGCATATCACTGAGCCAGATATATAAAGCCCTGAAAGAACCTGAAAGGTTCATCATGGTTAAGATTGTAGGAGTTAGAAATGATACAGCTGGTGCTATCTCCGTTCAGCTGTGCCACTGGTACGATGCCAGTTTTTAGGTGTTAAATGCTGAGCTACAATGCCATCTTCCAAGGAAGGTATTATGTTTCTTTTCTCATCAGGCTCCCTCAACTTCGCATTTTAGGTGGGAAAGTGCTATGCTGAAAGGATTCCCTTTGCTACTCACTCTGGCAGCATCTGGGCCATGTTTGTAGTAATACTAGATCCCCAGTCTCCTCCCTGAACATAGTATTCCTTGAAGCCCAGTCTCTTCAT